GATGTTTCTGTTGGCCATTGCAATGTGGATACCATCTTGCTAGGATGTCAGGTATCATGAGTATCTCAGGCAGACAAGCAGCTGTGAGGTCAGTAGGTGTTGATGGTGTCTCCAGACAAACAAGGAAGGAAGTATAAGGGTGGGTGATGCCCAGAGGCTGCATGCAACACTCGTTACTCATAACCTGGCCAGGCGTCCTGCTGATTGGGTTCTGCCCAGACTGTAAGGGGGCTCCAGGCAGACAAGCCCCACTTTGGGTACCAAAGAGGGACCCCAGGAGGTTACACATACCGTGAGCCTCACCCACCACTGCTCTGCATCCCCAACCCCAAGCCGGTCTCTGCTTGCCCAGGAGGCACACAGGGCTGGATCACCATGAGGAGGGCAGCAGGCCTGTGGCAAATTGGAAGCCCCACAGGATCTCCTAGCCTCCTCTGTGGCTTCTTTTAACGGGGATTTGAAACCCCAGGAATTTTTTCCCCACTCCTGTCTTATTTTTTTTAATGTTTTCAATAACACGAAAATTTAAAACTATGGTAATAATTAAAAATTCTACATGTATAAAATTTCAAAATCTGAATACCTTTTCCAAGTAACTGCTATCACAGTTAATCAGTACGTAGATTAAAATGCAATCACCACACAAAATTAAATATAACATAATAACCAATAAAGATGACACAGCAGATACAAAATCCTAACCTAAGATATAGGCACAGTATATTTCTATATATTCTATGATTCAAGAAAATGGATTTTACCAAGATTTTAAATTTATGTCTCAACCAACACTGCAGTATTCTTTCTTCCCAGTCTTTTCCCTACTACCAACACATTCTAATCTACACATGGCCTAAAAATTTAGGTGTTCTAAAACTATAGTTCCTTTCTCAGCTTATTACCTAAGTTATGCAAGGATCCATGGCACATTACACAGATAATTTCATGCGTTATCCATTTCTACTTCCAAGTATCTGTTTCCCACTCATTGCATAATTAGTTCATGCATTAGTTTCTGTGGACAACACAGAATGTAACACACTGGATGCCGAACCTCTTGAATTCCTCCTACTCCATTGCTGAAAAGCTCCAAAATAGAGCCTCACTGTCAACCACTGCTGATGCCACTGTTTCCCCCCGAGGAAGCTTCAAACATACGAAACAAGGTAATTAAAGGTTCATAGAATTCATAGATGGCTGCCAACATCCTAGGTCTAAATTATGTTTTAAAAGTCAACAGAGATAGAGTAGCTGTCCAGAAATCCAGTCTTCTGAAGATGATTAACCAGACAGCCACTTGAATGTTAAGTAGTTTAAGCATCCTTCACTATTTTCACAACTTGCAAGAGCTAAAATCTGAACTTTCTGTGCTTTCGAACTACTGCTCCATACTTCCCTACCGGCAGGGCCTCGGATTAGCCTCTACCGCCCTTGGCCAGAGTCCTGGATCCGGAGGGAGCTGAGGCCTCCACACGGAGAGAAGATGAAACAGAGGTGCTGCCCCGCAGACCTCCAACCTCTATGGTGACACAGTGACACAGTGCCAGTTTGTAGTGTCACTTAGCCCCTAAGTGACCCATAGTTCTTTGATTCTTTAGTAGTATTTTTCAGTACTAGATACTGCACCCATGGCTTCTCAGTCACCCACATCCTGTACTTTATTTTTTATTTTTGACACAAGATCTTGCTAACTTGCCTGAGCTGGGCTCACACTCCTGATCCTTCTGTCTCGGCATCCTGAGCACTGGGATTACAGATGTGCACACCTGACACCCCCCCCCCCACCAGGCCTGCTGCTTATTTGCAATAACCTGCAACTAAGCTACAGCTTTATCCCATGCCCTAGATCTTTCTGCAGACAGATGGAAGGAAACCATGTCAGGGCAGGCTGTGCGCAAAGCGGGGTTTACAGCCATGTGGCCCAGGTGTAGAAACTCCAGGTTTCCTGGATAGATGAGGGATCAGGCCCATGAGACTTCAGACTGTTCATTGTCTCCAATAATGAACAATGGGGCTTTGCAATTGTAGACCCAGTCTTGGGAGAAGACTCCTGGGTACTTCAGAGGAGGGAGTGATCCTGCCTGGGATGGATGCTCAAGGGTGGCACCTGGACAGGTGACCTGATGGAGGAGGAGTTACGGCCTCACTGGTCCTGAGCAGAGTTTCTGACTCTGCCTCAAACCTCCCAGGGCTGAGTGGTTTGGCTGCTGTCCAAAACTCATAGAGCTGAAAAGGGTCAGATCTAGGTTCAAATCCGAGCTTTGTGTTCTTAGACTTTAAAAGGGGTCACAACAGTATTCCCATCCCCTTATAACAAGACATAAATGTGGGTTTGGGTTGTATAAATGCATGGGAAAGGATGGAGAAGGAGAGGGAGGGAGAGAGAGAGAGAGAGAGAGAGAGAGAGAGAGAGAGAGAGAGAAACAGAGACAGAGAGACAGAAAGCAGAGAGATCTGGCAGATGTCCCATCAGGAGTTTTGATGAATAGTTTTCCTTTCACATGACTCCATTGGGAGTATGAAGGAAGAGTAGAAAGAGGGGGACATAGGCAGCAGGAAATATTCTTTAGGATGCAGTGTGGGGTCAGGGAGAACCAGGAAGGAAGCTACACAACTCGAAGTGTGCTGGTGGCAGCCCTACCAACCAAGGAGAACCAGAAAGGAAGTTACCCAGCTCCCTGTGTGCCAGTGGTGGCCATGCTGCCCTGGGAGAACTAGGAAGGAGGCCATGCCCTCCTGCCCCCAAACAACTGGCTGATCCGGAGGAACACAGGCTGAGATGATAACTACTGAAGTAAAGAAACAACCTAACACTTGTATTGTTTGATTGACTTTGCAAGCTCAAAGTCCGTAGTCTAAGCAACTATTTAAAGTTTAATTATGTGCAATATAGTAACTACTGTGGATTGCCTGTTTTATGACCATTTTCATTTTGTTTCATTTTATTGTTCTGTTTTTTTCCCTTAAGATTAAAAAAATAGATGCAATGTGACATCAAACGGTTCCATGTGGGTGACCAGCAGCCACATGAGCTAAGGGGTGCCAGCTAGGGTTTGCCTGTAGCTCACAGAAGGCCAAAAGGAAAACTGGAGAGACACAGAACGTAAGGGACAGTCACTGGCCCACAGCACCCAGAAAGAAGCAGGAGCGCAAGGGAATGGTGGGGCCCATGGCAGGCTGGTGGGTGCTACAGAAGGCTGGAGCATTCTTTTCAATGCTCCCACTGATCATTGCCCATTGCAGATGAGGACCCTCGGGCCTAGGCTTCTGTGGTTCTGAAGTGGAGACTGTGACATTCATGAAACTATATCTGGATAATTAAAATGTTGGCAAATAAGTCAAAACTTCAACAAAATACATATCAGAGCCAGCTGTGGTTTCACACACCTATAATCCCAGCACTCAGAGACTGAGCCTATCCTGAATTACACAGGGAATCAAGCTCAAACTGCACTGCTTTTAGCGTTTGTCTCAAAAAAGAATAGGGATGTGTGTGTGTGTGTGTGTGTGTGTGTGTGTGTGTGTGTGTGTGTGTGATTAGGATAAATGAAACACAGCAGTCATCCCAGTGGAGTCCAGGGGCTGGGCTTGTGTCTGTATTAGCAATCAACTGTTACATGAGAGCAGTAAGAGCTGGGAGCCATGGTGCACACCTGTAATGCCAGCTTCTTGGGAGTCTGAGGCAAGAGGATCACAACTTCAAGGCTGCTTTAGGCAAGTTAGTGAGACCCCCAACTCAAAACAAAAAATAATAAAGAGCTGGGGAGGTAGCTCAATGGTAGAGCATCCCTGGGTGACATCCCACTACCACCAAAAATGAAACAAAACAAAAAGCTGGCATAGGCTTCCTCATATGTAGTCCCCATACGTAGCACCTCACATGGGTCATTTTAGTATCTCTTGGGTTAAGGCACTGTACTCCTCCTGATGACATGAGGGGGTTTCTGAAACTGGGTCGGGCATTAGCACATGGGCCCCAGGCTTGGTTTTCCTCTACACATGAAAACTCTCTGTGCCTTCAGAGAGCTAGAGGTGAAGGTCTTTGTCTCCCATCCCATGCCACAGCCTGTTGGTTCTGAGGCTCTTCCTCAGACATGTGTATGCTTGGTCTTCTCAGCTTTTTGATATATGCAGAAAACTTCATGAGCTACAGCATCAAGTGTACAGGGATCTTATCTGTCTTATCCTTTCCTTTCCATCATCGTGAGGCAGGTATTTGTCACACAGTAGGTGTCCAATGGGCATTGCTAGCTGATGGTGTCAATGATCTTTTTTCCTTCATTTGAGAGCAAGTCTGACAATTGACATCAGAGGGGACTGGCTGACCTGGGCCCTGAGAATGCCAACGTTGTAAGACAGGAGGGGAGCAAAGCATGCATTCTAGCCCTAAAAAAACCCTCAGATAAACACTCAATACTTTGCAAACAGAGCTGTTTGTAGGCTCCTGGAAGGGAAGGCAGTTGACTGAGTGCTGCTGAGGTGCCGTGATCCATGCAGCTCTTAAGGTTCTTGGGGTGAAGGACCATGAGAGGATGAGACAATAAAGATGAGACAAAGCTGGGATAAGGTGGAGCCCTTAAATTTCCAGCTTCAATGGCTCCCAGCACTGAGGTATGGCCTGGAATTCTTCACATGTATCACAACTTTTTGGTTGGCAGGCTTTGCACTCCAAGGAGGTGTTGCTCTCTAGATGGCCCAGTTGTTGTTACTGGTGGTTCTTTTTTATTTTTTATCTGACTTACAAAAACCTTGTTGACTTAAATAGTATATGTAGTTGTTATGGCTTGTGTCTAGATGTCCCTCTCAGGTGGTCGCAGGTGGGGCTTTTCAGAGGGGGCTGGACCTAGGGTGTGTGGTGCTGGGATTAAGTGTAGGACAAAGGTTGTCCACCGAGGTCTGGCATAGTTCTGGGTGAAATGGGAAGGTCTGCCCTGGGTGTGGGTGGCTGTATTGAATGGGCAAGGAGCCTGGGGATGATGAAAGGGAGAGGCAGGCTGATGCTGCTTTGCTGACCTCCTGCCTTCTGCCTGCCGTGAACTGTGATGCCCCTCTGCCATGCCACCTGCCTTGGAGCCAGCCAGCTATGGACTGAAACCTGCACAAACTGTGAGCCACAAGAAACCCTTCCTACTTTAACTATGGGTATCAGGTATTTTGTCTCAGCAAGGGATAAGTAAGCAGGACAACAGTTTTTTACTCTGCCATAAAGAAGGGTAACTTTGACTCATTTATTGGATAATGGATACAGCTTGAAACCACAATGTTAAGTGAAATAAATGATACACAAATTTAAATATTGCACGGTTTTTCTTATATAAGAAATCCAGAGTATAAACAATTTAAAGAGAAAATAAAGGATAGGCAATAGAAAATAGGGAGTAAGAATTTTTGCAAAATGGAAGGAGACCAAAAGATTGAGAGGGGAGGGGTGGGGGTTTTTAAAAGAATTAAGATGTGTTACACACATGTATCAACTCCACATGATAACTGTCATCATTATGTACTTCATATACTAATAAAATTTTTTTAAAAAATCATACAGCCTAGAAAATAAGAAATTGTACATGTCTGAGTTTTTAAATTTTTTTTTTATTTTTTATCGCTGCCAAGGATTGAATTCATGACCACCCACTTGCAAGGCAGGCACTTAGGCCACTGAGCTAAATCCCCAGTCCCACATGTGTGAGTTTTTTAAAAACAAAATTCCAGACTACAGAAATGTTAAAGACTGAAAGGAAATATAATTCACAATTGCATCACCATCTACAATCAGTAATTATTTATATTGTAGCAATGTTTTTGTTTTGCTCAGGTATGTTTCTTTTATGTAGATGAGACTTTCCTGGATGTATGCAATAATCTTAGGTAAATTTTAGTTTCAGTCTACAAAGACAGCTAATTTAGGCAGAAATAGTAGAGGCAGTCAGGCCTAGGCCTTCAGGAGCCTCAGAGCAGAGAATGAAAACAGTACAGCTGTGGCTGGAGGCGCATGTTTTGGAGACCAGGCTTACACTGCACCCCAGGGATAACTGTGATCACCTGGTACGATAAAGCCTACACAGACACCAGTCACTGCAGTGGGTGACCAGGACCCCCAATCCAGCCCTTCCTGAAGGTCTTTGTTCTGTGTACCCTTGGTACATGACCTGCTGCCCCATTGCTCAATATTACTATGTGGCTAGACTTGTAATCTTATTGGCTGATCAAACTTTTGACCCACATTCTTTTCTTAGAACTCATTCTTTGATATTGGAAAACACAAACTCGGTATATCTGACCTCTCTAGCAGGTTGGAAGTTGTATTATTTCCCCTATATCAAAATGATGTTTACCTTTTGTCAAGATATTTACCCATGTCAAATTCGAACTAAGTACTATTTTGTAATTATGTATAAAGTTTTTCTAAGTGAAATTAGAGTAGGTATATATTTTAACATTTAACATCTGGCTGGACAGTGTTTTATTAAGTCACTGAATGTGGTATCCTGGTCTTGTTAATATTGATGCCCGGAAAAAAAAAGCTGAGAAGAAAAAGCCTGGAATTTTCCAGGGATCTAGCTCAGCAGCACAGTGCCTGCCTGGCAACTGCAAGGTCGTGAGTTTGATCCCTGATACGGGGGGGGGGGGGGTGGGGGGGAGAAAAGAAAGAAAGAAAAGAAAAAAAGCCTAGACTTTTTGATTTTTCTCTTCAGGTTTCAATCCCATGCCTTCAGCTCCTTGTCCATGTAGAAACATACCTTTCTTGTGGATGTGGCTGCCCCTAGGACATATGCAGCCTGTGGAGAGTCTGTGGAAGGAAGTCCTTGCACACTGTGGGCACCAAGGGGAGAGCAGAAGCGCTGTTTTGTTTTGGCTTTTTAAATGCTGTATCTCACTATGCTGTCCAGGGTCATCTTCAGCTCCAGGGCTCCAGGGATTCTGCCAACTCATCTGTCCATGCAGCTGGGACTGTAGGTACCATCAAGCACCCAGGTAACTATTTTCACATTTAAAATGATTTTCTATTGATTTTTTTTTTGCAAGCCAGTAACATTGGCTTTTTTTTAATCAGTATTGGGGATTGAACTCATGACTGTGTACTTGCAAGGCAGGGGCTTATGCCACTGAGCTAAATCCCCAGTGTTATACCTCCAAAACAAGGCCCCAAGATGTTATTTAAAAAAACTAGGGCAAGATGTCTTTTTAAAAAAAAGAGTGCTTTTATTTAAGCTGGCACCAGTGGCACAGTGCAGATGGAGTTTGCAAAGCTGTGCACTGGGTTAGAATTTTGACAGATTTTTATAGCCCATTAACCGTCAAAGTGAAGAGTGACCTGACAGAGCAGAAATGGAGAAGGCCTTTGTTCCCCTTTGCTTGGGGTCAGAGACATTTTGCAGTTGGTAGTTAGCCCTTTTTTTCCTTGGTCTGCTAATTCCAGGAACATTTGTTTCTAACAAAGTGAACAAAGGTTGACACAGCATCATTTGTCTCTCACAAAGGGAACAAGTTGATGCAGCAAACAGGTTACTAAGGTGATGACGCATACAGAACAGTATGCGTGACTCATCAGTGGTGCCCCAGGTACATGGTTACTAGGGTGATAAGCATAACACAGAATGACAAAGCTCTTTTTGCTAATACCAATCTTTTTAAATTTGCATTTTAGCTTTATTTTTAGCACAACATTCCCCATGGATTTTTGTCAGTGATCCAAATCACTGGCTCATAATTTTCAAACAGAGGTATCTGTTCATAACCTTGTATCCTTAAAATCATGAGCTTTATAGTTTGAACCTGATCTTTGACATAGTTTACCAATTTTTTTATAATGCAAGGTCCAATTGTTAAACAAGTAAGTAAGATTAACAGGTCTGGAGGCTGCTGTGATTAATGTTGTCAACCATAGAGATGGAGAAAACTATTGCTCAAACCAATTCCGTTCAGCTTGTCTGGCTTGTTCTCGTTCCTGTAGCCACCCTTTAAGGCTGGCCATACTTTGTCGGATAACGCCATAATGATTGGCATACAAGCAACAATTCTCTCCTAAGGCCAGACAGAGGCCTCCTTCCTTTAGGAACAGGAGATCTAGATCCCACTGATTTTGTAAAACCATCTCAGTCAGTGAACTTAAAGAATCGTCTAACTTGGAGACAGAGTCACTAAGGGCTGCTAGATCTTGGTCAATGAGTGCACTTAAGTGTCTATAATTTTGGTCTCCAACTATTGGGCTGGACACTCCTAAACCTACTGACCCTGCCATTCCAATTCCCAGTAATACAGGTATGAGTACGGGATTTCTCTTCAATCAGATCAGACTCTATTAAGTCAAAGCTAGGGAACAAATGACTCCATTATTTCCTGATTACCAATACACTTGGGGAAAGATATGGACTAATATGCAAAGCTCAAGGCGCTGGGTGAACAGGTGATGCTTGGAACACGGAGTTATACCAGAAGTACAGGCAAACCAGGTTCCATTGGGAGCAACAAGGTATTGATTAGCAGGATAGGAAAAATTATGAATCAAGGCTGAAGAGGTAGGATTACACAGCACGGCATAAGGGAAGTGTGCAAGGAGTAGGAGGCAGAGTAAACACAGGTTCCTGGAGTACCCTGTATATTGTCCAGTGTGAGTAGGGGCCTAGCGCCCCACCAACAAGTGGTGTCATCTGCAGAGGAATTTAAAAGTTGACTTACCATAATAGTCACAGGGGTGCCCATATAAAAGGGAGGTCAAGATGGGAGGCATAACCAGCAGTCAGCAGTGAGGTTTGGGCACTAAGATTGAGCAACTGGTAAGCAATGTCCAGAGGCAAGAAGGGGTCTAGGGATGGTGCAGAAATGGCAGAGGGCAAAAAGGTCTCAGGAACAGGAAGTCTAGTGGAGGGGGGCGGAAGATGAGTGACAGGAAGAGATCGAGGTGGGGAGCCTGAGGGCCTATGAGCCTGGTGGGGGCTGTCCGAACAGGCCCAAGAACAAACTGAATGATAAAGGCGCTTCCTGGGTCATATCCAGAGACCCATAACCTAGTACCATAATGTAATCTTGCTTTCCAAACAGGATCTGTTTGGATTTTGGGTCTGAAAGTTGTAAGATTACACTGGTTAAGGGTGCAGGAAGATGGGGTCTCCCGAGTGAGGAAAAGGTAATGATCCCCTTTATTTCCCTGCCAAGGAGATACAGATTCACAACCACAATGTCTACAAAAATATTGTCTCTATGAACTGTGAACACCTACTAGTGTGATCAGAGGCTGGCTGTTGCTTTTGGGGACAAAGATACCAGCCAGTGGACTGTAATTCCTTTTAACTATGTAGGTCCCTCTAAGGCTCCATTAGCAACCAATCATGCAGCATGGCATGTGGACCAAACAACATTCTCTTCTAATTTTTGCTGGGATGTTATTTAATAGGGCACATAAATCTATCTTAGTTATCCCATGGACAGTAGTGTTGTCTACCAATAATTCACCAGTGAAACAGTAATTTTCCAAGTTCTAAACAGTGGGTTATGAGGTATTCCTTGGGGTCTCCATAAGGAAGAACACACATCCCCAAAGGAGTACAAGAAGACACAGGGCAAGGCAGGGCCTCTCACTGCTCATAGCCCCAGACACCGCCCTGGATTTGAGTCGGGTGTGTGTGTGTGCAGAAAATTCTTTGGTAATTTTCACTTTACCAAATGGCAAGGGGTATTTTGAGGTTTGCAACCATTTTTATGTTTGATCTCTTCTTCCTGAGTCCCACTCCATGGTAAAAGTGCACTATGACTCCTCCTAGATGAGCCTCGGTGTGGGGACCTATGGCCAGACTCAAGGCACTTGAGGAAGATGGTGGACTGCCTCCTTCACGCCTACCCTACTGAGTGGTGAGCCCCCCTTCTTTGCTTGGCTTTATGTAAAGCTGCAGATGGTTTGGCTACACACAGTAGGCCTACACCTCATGTTCACAAAGTTTGTGCCCTAATTCTGAGGCCAGAGGTATTCCCTTGGTCATGGGGACATCTGTCATCTTTCTGAGCCCCTGTCTGTTCTGAGGAACCCGGGGTGCTTTGAAGACTCTCCCATGAGCTGTTGGTAGGGCTAAGAGGAGTGAGTCCTGGCAATGTCTGCCCTGGGCCTGGCACTACCCCCTGGGTTGTTCTGGGCTGGGGACTTCTCCAGGGGGACTTTTTCTTCCCAGGAAGGAGCTCTCAGCCTCCCCGAGTAGTTTTTCCAGATTCCACCAGGGAGTAGGGGTCTCCATCCTGGATGTAGCCAGAGCAAAAACACTGTTGGTCAATTCAGGGGTCAGGATCAACTGAGTTTTCTAGTTGAAATGGGTTGAATTCATTTACTGTATGAAAATGGGAAGTACCCACTGGGTGCCAGTTCATTTCCAGGTCCTTGGTATAATTCAGTGCAAAATACTGGAAAATCCTGTCCTTCTTGCCTACCTCTCCACCCCCATGCAGCCAGGCCATAAGACATCACCGAACATGAGACGCTCTTGTCACCTCCCCTAGGTATGGCTGCACCCTCCTCGACTGCAGTGAGGATGATTTCTCAGCAGCAACTGAAAATGTGTGTGGGTCAAGAGGGAGTTTCCTGTTTTCAAAGTAGGGACTCTAGAGATTCCTTTCCTGTCCTCATTGCAGTCTGAGAAGTTTCTATCTGTAATCCCATGGAAAACTTACTGAGATTCTAACAAGTTAATTCTACTCTACCACTTCCAGTGCAACTCACAATAGGATTAAAGACACTAAGACATATTTATGGTTGTGGGGGGCCAAGGGATCCTGAGTCTAGCCCAGATGAAGGCTCACTGGAACAAAGGCCTCGGCCCAGGGCCTAACCTGGATTTTACTAATTCATGAAGAAGGGAGTGGCTAAGGATGAGTGCCTGGGAGAATGGCAGGGATCACGTGAGTACTGTGAGCTGGGCTGGCTAGGTGGCCAGAAGGCACCTCTGCAACATGCAGAGAAGGTATTCAGGAAGACCAATTTGCGTAACACAGCTGAGGTAGCATTTAATGTTTAGGAGGTGGTGTTTCAGTTCTGATGTGCAAAACTTTTCTGTCCTGGGAAGTCACAGCCTTTTATGTTGAGGCTTGAACCTAGTCAACAGCTGTGCAGTGGTGGCTCTACCATCTTGCCCAGCTCAACCGTGTTTAGAGAGACACCGGGGTGGGAGACAGCACTGTTGCCTAGCCTCAAAGATTATGCATCAGCACCTCAGCGAGCCCTATTTACATGGCTTAGAGCCAAATGAAGGGAAAAGGCAATAGCTTAGCCATCTCTGTATACAACAGTACATGGAGATTGGGCTAGGGTTAGCCAAAGTGGAGGTACCTGCTCTGTATTCAAGGAGAGTTGTCCAGGTGGTCCTCTACAGCGACAAGGCAGATTGCTTGGAAAGGCTGGGAAAACCCCAGGTCTGGTTGTGATTCCTGCTACAGGGCCAAAGTCCCAAGCTTGGTCTATGGGAGAAGAAAGTCAGATTGGCTGGCCAGGTCTGTGCAATACAGAAAGTGAGGTGGCAAGACTAGCTTGGGAAATAAGTTCGCTCTACAGAACCAATTTTTCCTTTATCTCTTCACCCTTCAGATAAACTTTTGGCACTGTTCTTGGCTGTGTCACCCAATTCTTTGAGCCATTATTTGGTGAGCCATTTCTAACTGAACTACTGGACGCACTAAGATGGGGCTCTGAGCTAGGGTCTCCTTGCTGCCGCATGCTCGGCGGGTGCCCAGGGCACAGGGGTGACTATGTGCTTAGGAGAAGCTGCGTGGGAAGGTAAGAGCCATCCAGGTCCACAGAGATCGAGAGGGAGTCGAGTGGTATATGTCTTAGACTGTGGATACCAGGCAGGAGCACCAAGCCTCCAGTGGGCAGGAGGCCTGGGGCCAGAGAGCAATGTGTAGGGCTTCCCTGAAGGAAGAGGGCCCCACAGTAGATTCCCGGCCCTACTGCCCTTAGGTTTCTCTGCAGTCTGTGTCTGCCCAGTCGACCTGCTGCTCCCTGGACAGGTGACAGGGCACAGACTGGGCTGGCCCAACTTCCACATAGGCAAGAGATCCACCGGCAGCCCAGTCCTCACAGGGGTGGCAGGGGAGGCCACACTGCAGGTTGGTTAGGTCCCTGACTCTGCTGATCTTTCCCTGCCTCCAGCACCATGTCCATCATCCTGGGCACCTGGATGGAACAGTGCTGGCACAACTTCTGGGAACCTCCTGATGTTCCCATCCTCCAGCGGTTGCTGGCTTGTGTGTAGCTGGACGTGTCTGGCTCAGACCTGGAGCACCACACTGACTTTCTCAGGACACAGAAGCTGGCAAGGCTGAGCCTGAGGGTGAAGGGTGCTGGGCTGGGTACAGCAGGGCACAGGACGAGGGCTGTGTGCTGGGGATACCTGGGAGGATGCTCTGGGGCTGGCACGGGGCCAGAAGCAAGGATGAGCCTGAGTCCTTGGGCACTGTCCTACAGGCCAGGCAGACGTCCTGTGCTAGGGTCAGCAGTGTGGCTTATTCAGCAGCCGGTTACAGTCAGGAACAGGCAGTTGGGGTGGGTGCAACACAAGTTCCAACAGTTTCAGTTTAGGAAGTGGCAGCTGAAATAGTCCCTCAGAACATTAGAGATCAGAGACTCAGGTGCTTTCCTGGAGCACACAACAGATGCTGAAGTAGGATGCTGTCTTATTTTCTCATGCCAGGACATAATACCTGACATATACAACATAAAGGAGGCTCATACCCTGCAGAGGTTTCAGTTCAGAGTCAGCTGGCTCCAAGGGCAGTATGGCAGAGGAGAATCTGTTCATGGCATGGCAGCAGAAGCAGAGAGAGAACAGAGGAGGGACAGAGATGGAGCTTTGCAGCCCACACTCCAGTGACCTACCTCCTCCTGTGGGGAGCTTCGCCTCCTGATACCACATATTACCATAAACTCCTCAGTGGGCCAATCCTTGGAGTCCCTCCCACCATGTGAGAAGGCAGGCCTAGTATGTGTGGCTCTCAGAGTTGACTGGGTCTGAAATGCTGGCAATAAGTACTGTACACTTGCCCAGGTGCCTACCTACGATCAGAGATCTGATGGCTTTCCTCATCTACCAATATGAGCAAGAACATGCCCCACGCTGGGCCACTGCCACAGCGTGGGGCGAACAGATACACGGGCTTCTAGAACAGGCAGGAGCCCTCACAAACTACAGGCCACAAAGTGAGGTGGAGAAATGGGACTTGCTGGACTCCAAAACTGTGGATCTTAAAAAAAAAAAACACTCATTCAAAAATACAGATTTTGGGGAACTCATTTTTTTTGTTTGCTTTTCTCTTTCTTCTTTACTGCTTTTTTTAGGTGTTGGTGGTTTTTTCTTTCAGTTTAATTCTTTTTGTTCTTTTCTGTTACTGCCAAGATCGGAGCAGCCAGCAGGGTCCTGAGAGGAGATGACAGGAGATTTAAGGTAAGACTAGACACATACTAAAAGGAAAGCCAGACTGGGTGGGACTGATCTTGGTCAGGGGAGAGGCAGTGGACCAACCAGCATGCTCTGCCTCTTTATTCATGCACTGTAAAAGGGGGGAAGTGTGCAACAGAGTCAAAAGTATAAAGTCTCAGTGTTTTGCTGAGATGCTGAAAGCGAAACGTTCTCAGAGCCATCCATGCTGCAGGTAACAGGCAAGAACACCATGGCCATACACCTGCTGACTGGCCCTGCTCTAGTCCCAGCAACGAGCACTGTGTTTCCAGGGCTGGCCTGGCCCTAGCCCTGAATGTGTGGTCAATCTCCAGCTCAGCCACTCCCCACAGTTCCCTTTATCTAATTCTATTCATTTCCTTTTACTCAACAGGATCTTTCATTTCACTTTTTCTTTTTCTTTCTTTCTTTCTTTTTTTTTTTTTTGTTTTACAGGAAAGTTAAAAGATCATACTGTTTTAACTCAGGGTTTCCCTTCAGGAAGGACCACACCAGCCCTCAGGTATTGCAAACATTTATTCTTCTGTCCTAGGAAATTGCTCTGTGGTGACAAACATGGGTCATCTTCCAGGTCATAGGTGGTGGCTTTGTCTCAGCACTTCTGATGCTGCATTTCTGAGTGGCTAGAATATCTCGTCTTCTGTCATCACTGATAAAATTTTTACTCTTCTAGTTCACCCACCCCAGCCTGCCTCACGAGGTCTGCGATGCTTTTCTACAGATGATCAATGCAACTACTCATCATCAATTCTTGCAATGATCTGGTCAGATATAGTTTGAAATGTATCCTGCATCTGCTGCAAGAGGGTCTGCACTCTGGCCCTGAATCAAGGCTGGCAGCTTTCTGACGCTGTTGGTTTCAAGCAGGAGCCTAAAGAGATGTCTTTCTATGGTCTGTTGGCCATTTCAGAACTTGGGCAGTGAAATGGTCAATTCACTAGAAAGAAACAGCTTGAAGCACCCCCCCCCCCACAACCCAGGGTGAGCGGCTGTGAGCGTGGCAGAATGTGGCAGCCCAGGACAGGAGCCACCAGACCTAGAGCACCAGGAAACCAGGCAACTCCTCCCCACCTGTTTGTTTTGTCGAACTTCATTATACATGAAAGCATGGACAGCTATTTTGAAGAGAACAAGAGACTCTACTGACAGCCGTTAGTGACTTCCCTATTGTCTGGTTTTGAAGATGTAAAATGCCTTCCTCATTCTGTTCGGATCAGTTTTAGACTATGTTGTTTTGTATGAATTCTCTGTATGTGAAGACATGGACAACTATTTGGAAGAAAACAAGAGACAATATGATAAGATAGTGAAGATCTCAGGTCGTCTAGCTTTGAAATTTATATCTCTTACATTGCTTTCTTATGTCCTGTTTTATTGTGTTTAATTTTACTCCTTTAAAATAAAAATTAAAACTAAAAAAAGAGGGTCTGCACCACTGAGGTGAGGTCCTGCATGGTCATGGGTCGGTCTGGGCCATCTCCCCAGTTCCCAGCTTGGAGGTGATGTCGCTGACAGTCCTTATCCATTGCTTAATTTGTCAAAGTTTTCTTCCTTCATTTTCCCATTCACTTCTTCCTCTGTCTTTACTAGTATAACCATTAAGCTTTCTTAATTTTTTCTTCTTTTTTTTTTTTGGTATCAGGAATTGGACTCATAACCTTGCCAGGCAGGCACTTAGGTCACGGAGTTAAATCCCCAGCCCTAAGCTTTCTTACTCTTTATATAATTAACTTTATGCTATTACTATCGAATTCTTTTCAACTGTTAGTGGAGGTATAGTTGTTGCAGATAGTAGGTATTTTCTGGGTGTCCATATTTTGGTTTGTGTTGGTGTTTATACTACAATTATAGATCTGTTTTCTGTGCTTAAGTGTAGTACGTTATTATTTCTTATGTCAATACTCAGTTTGTCTTCAACACTATCACTGTTACTGATCTAGTTGCTATTAGTTGGTTTATTCTGTAGGCCACCATCCAGATTTGCCTTTGTGTCATTAACAATACTGTGGCTCACCCCTAAAGAAGTAAGTGCTGGGCAGTTACACTACATCTTTCCTTCCCTAATTAACAGAGGGGGTCAGATCTTGGGACAGAGGCAAAGGCCTACAGTCAGTCACACAAGAGTGGGTCACTGAGAAGCAGACAGCAGCTAAAGAGCTCGCCATACCAGCAACAAAAGCCTTCTACTCTAGGAGCTTAAAAGCACCCCCCACCCCAAACACATCCCAAATCCAAAACACAACAAAACACAAAAACAGAAACATGCAATAATAAGGCAACAAAGTGTTTCCCAAAATGCCCCAGTCTCCCAAAGTTAAGCACTAGGGAACTGAAGGAGAGGAAATCAAAGCCACACAGCTGAATTACTCAAAATGATGAAAGAGGAGATTAAAATTCAGATCAGTAATATGTTTAGTGAGCTCAAAGAGGATATAACTGAACAGATAATGGATTTAATAAACCAATTGATAAGTGAGTTTATAAAAGACACTAATAAAGCAACTTGATGAGCTAAGCAGAACAGTACAATTACATGAGTGAACAGCACTGCAAAGAATCAATTCATGACAAGATAACAAACAGAAGTCCATAGTTTAAGAACTACTGAAAGTATGGGCAGAGTCAGGTGTAGTGGTGCATGCCTGTAAACCCAGCACTTGCGAGGCTGAGGCAGGAGGATCACTGGTGAGTTTGAGGCCAGCCTGGACTATAAAATGAGTTCAAGGCCAGTCTGAACTATATAGTGAGACCCTGTCACAAAAAAAGAAAAAAAAAAAAAGAAAAGAAAAAAGGAAGTATGGGTAGCAGAAAGGACCAATATGAGGGGGGAATGTCAGAACTAGAAGATAGGGCTGCTTATGGGTGACCAATGACTCACAGATACCTTAAAACCAACAGAAGATCAGGAAAATGGATCCAACACTGCTGACCGAGAAACTAACCTAAGATTAACTGGAATTAGTGAAAAATAAGAACAGCACAAATGACAAAAACCTGTCTACAGAAATCATAGCAAAAGAACTAAACAGATAAGTGATACATGTAAAACCCCAAATAGACACAATTAGAAAAGGATTTTTCCATGATACATCACAGTCAAAATCTCAGATGTTTAGTATAAGGAAAGAATTTTAAAAGTTATTAGAAAAAGCAATGACTCCGTTATAAACATAAACCCATTAGAATTATAGCAGACTTCTCAACGCAAGCTTTAAAAGCCAGGAGACCTTGGAGTAAAGTGTTTTGAGCCCTAAAAAGAAAACACCTTCTGACTCATACTGATATATCATGCAAAATTATTGTTCGAATTTAAAGGAGAAAAAAATATATACCCACAACAAGGAGCATCTTAAGAAATTCATGATCACCAAAGCACTACAAAAATTCTCAAGGATATCTTAGAAAGAGGTAACAAATCCAGTGACCCCAAAAGCCTAACTGAATACAACAGGTTGGGGAGCACTTCAGCAGTTAGTAATGAACTCACCCAAGGACGTGAAAGACCTCTACCATGTGAAATACAGGACTCTGAAGGAGATTGAAGAGGACGCTAGGAAATGCAAAGATAACCCCCATTCCTGGGTAGGCAGAACCCAATGTCCAGACGGCCACACTTCCAGAACAGGTATGCAGGTTTAATGCAATCCCAATCAAAATACCCACAGCAGCCCTCACAGAACTAGAGAAGAGGACTAAAAATTCATACGTTCCAGAAGAGACCTACAATAGCAAAAGCAATGACGTGGCCAGTTTATCTAAAGGTGTACTTTGAGTATATTATTTGCTTTTATCTGTTAATCTTGATAATGAACTTGCTAGAGCCTTATAAAATCAATCAATCAATCATCTGATGCTGGCAAAAAGAAATAAAAACCGGGTTTAGTGAAAGGGGGAGAAAAATTTGGGTGTGTTATGTACACGTACCAACTCCTCATAATGAATGTAATCATTGTGCACTGCAAACACATACTTATAATAATTTTTAAAAAGAAACAAAAACAAGTTGGGAAAAGAAGAGTGTTTACAGAGCTTTGGGAACCGTGGAGGACAGGAAGGGACAGAGACCATGTAGTTAAGGGGTACACAGGGGTGCAGATGAATAGCATCTTTTAAAAAGTGCTATTGACTGTTGAACCCAGGGGCTCATGCATGCTGGCAAGCCTCCTTTTGCTGAGTTATGCCCCACCCCTTTTTATTTTATTTGAGACAAGTTCTCATGAATTTTACAGGCTACCTTTGAACTTGCGATCCTCCTCCTTCAGCCTGTCAGGGGCTGGGATTACAGACGTGCATCGCTACAGCCACTGGCAGGAATCACCTCCAATATTCTGTAGTATAGTAGGGTAACTCGCCAAAAATGATTTCTAAATCACTAAAGAAGATTATGAAAGTTCCCAACACAAAGAAATGCTACATTACTAAGGTGAGAAGATATTCCAGTTACCCTGATTTGATCACTTTGCATTGTACACTTATATTGAAATACAACTCTATTCCAGAAATACGTAATTACTGTATGTTTTAAATGACAGCAAAAGTATTTTTGAAAAAAAAGATAACCTCACAGACAATAAAATCTGAGGAGTACTAAAGAGAAAGTACTCCCATTTGTGACAACCAAACCTGCAGGATACAATGTTAAAGTGAAGCCAGGCAGAGGGCAAACACCCTGCTACCCATGGATCTAGAAAAGCTGAGCTCAGCAGGGTTGTACCACATGCCTGAAGGCTTAACTGTTGGGAGGCTGATAGAGGAGGCTCGCTTGGGCCCTGAAGTTTGAGAACAGCTAAGGACGTATCAAAGCGAAACACGCATATACCACACCACACCACGCCACACCTAACCTAACCAAGTCAAGTCTGATCCACACAAAAAACTGGTAGATTTAAAAAAACTGAACTCATCAAAGCAGGAAGTAGAAACAGTGGTTACCTGAGGCTGGGGATGCTGGAAGGGAAGGAAAGATGCTGGCTAAAGGGCTCCTCCTATAGGCCCTGCATCTTCAGTTCTACTATTCAACAGTATCAGGGGTGGCACAGCAAGGTTTAATACCCAGGCCTTTCAGGCACACTTAGCCAAACCACAGCACCACCTGTTCACTGTTCTAAGTCAGGCAGTGATGAAAATCTTCATATAAACACTTTCATTTAAACTGGACTCTGAAACACCCTGGATCAAAGTCTGTATTTAGTTTAAGGAGTTTCATACACAGTGGTTGTTGATGTGCTAGACCTATAATGCCCAAGTTGGTAACAACCGACCACATGGTTTTCTATACATAAGTTTAAATGCAATTTTAAAACATCAGTTTTTAGCCTGTGTGGTGGTGTGTGCCTGTAATCCCAGCACACAGCAGGATTCTTGTGAGCTCAAGGCCAGCCTGAACTGCACAGTGAGATCCTGTCTCAAAAAGACCCCCCCACACACACACAAAGTCAGTTCCTGTGCCGCTCTGGGTAACTAGCCTTGTCCTCAACAGCCTGTGTGGACTGGATAGCAAAGAGAACAGTCCCATCACGCAGAATCCAGTGCTGTGATGGTGAAGCCATAGCACCGGGCCGCAGCAGGCACTTGTTGCTCTTGGCCAGCAGGGGAGCCACATCACTCAGCACTGCCCATCAGCAGAGCTTGGGGGGAACAGTGCACAAGCACCCCAACTACAGTGTTTGACTGTCAATAAAAAGCTGTTTGTACTGTTAAGAGCTCTGTTGCTGTGTTTTTATGACAAAAGGTGTAACGTATGAGTCATTTTTTCTAAACTAAAACCTCAGCATTCACATTTAATTGCAGTGTTGATGCTTTGCAACAAGCGGGTGCTGGGTTGCAGATTCAGAGACTTTCTAGAAGGTTTGCCATGACTGGTCTAGAGGTTAGTGTTATTCTAGAAAAGCTTAGTTTTTGTACTTCCATGATCAGTCTATTCCTTCACCAGTGCTGAATATCATAATTTTAAACTTTTTTAGCTTGACAGGAAAGGAGTCTCAATTTCACAATTATTTCTAAATACAAGTTCTCAGCTGGGTGTGGTGTACCCAGGGAGAAAGGACCCAGTGCATGGAGAGTCGGGAAGTGGGGATGTGCTTCACTATGTTCAACCTTTTAAACTTTGAGTTACTTAAACCATTTTTCCTGGTTCACAGTTTGGTCATCCCATTTAGTTAGTAAGAAGTGTATTTCCAACCAACACACCTTGGGGGAGGCGGTGTCTGAGTGGTACGGCTGGAGGTGGGCATGCCATTAAACCAGCTTGAAATACCCCAACCGAAAACACTTGCAGCTGGCCTTACTGGCTAAGAATTTGGGGCCATCATTGCTCCTGTTGGGAGAAATATTCCAAGTTGAGTCTGGAGGAAAACTATCGGTCTGCTTCCCAGGTGTCCCTTCAGCCAACTACTGGCAAAAGTGGAGGCCCTGATTTATAGCCACAGCCTGTTCAGCTTTCTGTGGTCACTTCTGCTGGGTAAGATGGTCTGCCCTGGGTAACCTCCAATAGCTACGCCTCAGGGCAGACAGTCTCAAACAAGAGGAGACTTGTTTCCTACTGACACTCCTCTGTCAGCAGGACCAGCATCCCAGCAATCTTTCCTTGATTCCCACACTGCCTTTCAGACCTCTCTGCCAGAGAAGTACTCACTTAATTCTTTTGGGATTACACTGTACCTACCTAAGTAAAACCATCAAAAACAATACTTTGATACTTATATTTCTTACAGGATAAAATTGCTGAGACCCCTCACTATGGTAAGAGAGGGAAAGATTCCTCAAATCTCAGAGCAGCTGCTTCAGTTCACCTGCGGTCTGGATTTATCTCCTCGATACTGACTCCAGGGAGTCAGACATAATTTAGTTTAGGCATGTACCACCACCCGTAATACCACCGGTGTGCTGACCTTATTCCCAGTCTTAGCTTATTTTTTACTCCAGTGTCTTTATTTATAATTCTGTAAGTTGTCCTTCAACACCTGTGGAAAGAATGCGAGTGGTCACCTATAGGAGACAGAGACTAGACGGGGCAGGAGGGTTCTGGAGTGTGGACTGCTTCTTTAGCTGGACACGGCGGGTACCAGAGCACTGATAATCCATTTCTTCAGCTGGACGCACTGATACAAGTTTTTCCTCACACAGGAGCTCCCTTTGGCGCTGGACAGTGCCCCCTTGTGTTCTCTTCCCAAACCCCCAAGTCAAACCTTCCGCTTTTCTTTTCTCCTTGTGCATAGGTTCCTCCTACCAGCTGTCAACAGGTCATTTCACCCACCCCCTTAGCTCCACCCCTGTCAAACTCCAAATAAATGGTTTTTCCTGAAAAAACCAAATAAATTGTTTTTCCTGCAGCTTCCAAAGGGTGGATGAATCTCTTCAGCGGCCCTCCAATGTCCTCAATAAAGGCCTGTTTTCCTTCCTCTTCATTTCTTTTCTCTCTCTTTCCATGGGAAAAAGTGTGTCCGCTCTGTGTACTCACTGAGCTGGGCATTTGATCTGTATACCTTTCATGCGTACGCTAAACTTCAATAAAGTGACACAAAACATGAGGACTGAAGGAGATGCTACCTATGCACATAAGGGTTTACTGTGTGACACACTGCATGGAGTTACTTTCTTTAATCCTCCAGCTCTCATTCTACAAATGAAGCATCTAATCTGAGGTTAAACTGAGCAAAGGATGAGACAGATGACTTCTTTACCCTGCTCTCCACATGCTACTTTAGTCTGTCCTTATCAGGCTCAGCCACTAAATCTGAGAGACAGTGGTCAGACCTAGTGCATAAATAGGCAAAAAGACTGTGAAGCGGGTGTTTGGGCAAATGCTGGTGTGGGCTTCATTTGGTGGAGAAGCCCTGCACTGCGAGCCCCCTGGGACTCCCCTGCTGTCCCCTATCCAACTGCTGCAGGGCAGGGCCCATCCTTCCCTCAGTGAGAGCACCTATGAGACCGCCCAGAGGCCCCTTATTTACAACTTGATTAAAAAAAAAAAAAACAACACAAAAGACTGCAAAAGATAAACTCTACTATTCCTTATCACTTACCCTCTATAATAGCCATCTTCTGACCTTCTAATCAAGGGGAAAGAATATACACAAAAAAACTAGCAAGCTCTCGGGGGAGGGGTAAAAAACACACTGTTAGGTCACCCAGCAAGAGTGCTAACTGGGCTGGGCACGGTGGTGCATGTCTGTAATCCCAGGCAGCCAGGCAGGAGGACCATGGGGAATTGAGGCCAGCCTGGGCTACATAGTGAGACCCTGTTTCGAAGGGACAAAAAAAAAAAAAAAAAAAAAAAAAAAAAAAAGAATGCTGACTAGGCTCAGCAGCCTGCTCTGTCTCTCTCTTGAGGAGTCACAATGATTTGTTCTGATTCTCTTGAATCATGACAACTATTACCCGGCCTGCTCCCCACCAAGACTCCCCTCTCCAGATGTGGTGCCGGGGGTTGAAAGGCCCTCGCTTGCTGCAGGTACTGTGGAGTCATGTATTCAAGACTATGTTTTCATTAACTGCTTTCTGCAGAAAGACACACAAAATCTTTCAGAATCAATTTTTGTGTTCGGACTGAAAGAATTCTGACTGTATTTTGTAATGTTAAAGTCGTTGTACAGCAGTGCCGGGAGACAGGTCAGCAGACCACTTTCAGATTTCTTTGTATTTCAGTGCTCGCTACTTTGTTTTGGCCTCACCATTCCCCTACCATTGTCTCGTTTCTCAATACGGAACTGGGCTCGTCCATTCTGATACCCATTTGTAGCTCTAAAATTCTAACGTGAACTGGGTGTCAGCTGTATTCCTGGAGAAATGCCATTGGACAGATGTACACAAATGAACTGGAGGGAAAAAAATGTACTAGAGACATGGGAAAGAGAACAACCCTTCAAGCTAAAAATACATGTGGAGGTGTTATTTTAGTGTACTCAGCCTCATTTTTCTACAGGGTTGTCTGCTATGCTACCTGGGTCACACTGAAGAGTCACATGAATAATGATAAGAATCTCTTAAAGTGTCCCGGCATTCTTGGGTCTTCCTTGATAGAATTTTACAGCCATACAACATGGCTAAACTACGTTACACCATGAAACTTTCCTTACTTTCAGGCTCCTGAGTTTTATTTGCACTTACATGATATAAACATACAGTCTTCCTTTTTAAATATAAAATTCTCTTTCTCATTTAAAAATTAAAACATAAACACAAACCAAAAAAAGAGTGACTCTTATTAAACTCTGCTCTTCAAGGGGAGATACAATCGCCAACCTGGTGATGCAAGGCCATGGGCTGGGGTCCTACGGTTTTCGAAATTTGCTCTGGAGGAAAACTCTGGGCACACACAGGCCCTCTTTCTTGTTCACTGTCTCCCGGAAGACATACTCATTTACCACTTCTTCATAACCTGCACCCTCAAAGAGCTGAGCCAGGAATTCTGTAAGACAAGTAGGTTGACAATGCTCAAAGACTTGGTGACATAACATTTGCTTCTGCAATGCTTAGGAGGAGGAGAGGGGAGCTGAAGAGGACTTTGTAGTTTTTTATGTAATGAAAATGTCGATGCTAAAATTTAAAGTTTTTTTTTTTTAAAAACTGACACAACTACTTCTTATGGTCTTACACCCAGATAGAAATAACAAATTAAACAACTTAATCAGTAATACTAAAAGGATAACCTGGAATACATTCAGATTGTCCTATTAATGAGTTACAAATATAAAAGTCTGATTAAAAAGAAACAAAATCCCAAACTGAATAAATTCAAAGTCTGCCTGTGCTCAAGTGCTTTACACCAAGCACCTCATTTATCCCGAGGAGTAGGAGCTTCTGTGACCAGAATGGGAACAAACATCACCTAGTGGTGATACATCCTCAGAAAATCCCACCTCCACAATATATCACTACATATTAAATGAAACAAGGACACATGGGTAAAGAATAAAGAGTGCTATTTTGAAGGGCACGCCCTTACACGTTCTGTAGACATTATCTTCTCAATTATTTATGACTTGTTAATCAGACTTTAGCAAGCAAATATTAAAATACCTCTTCAAATTTGAACCTGACATTTTTATGATTTTGCAATTTTAATGATACTCAGTGATTTCTAGTCTTTTGTATCTAAAAGAATATTCCAAAACATAAAAATATTTGTAAAAACAGATCAAAGATAATTACAGCCCAGATTACTAGGTAGACTTAAAACTAATACTTGAAACACTGGAAGGACTTAAATACAACATTTTCTTATCCAAAATGACTTTCTAGGAATCCCTCTGAAATAAAGATGTATATTTACAAAAGATCCAATCATTTTTATTGCAAAAGACTCCTTGCCTCTGTAACCTGGAAAAGTAATCTCCAGGGACTTTACTACCTTGTTGACTTTTGATAGAACAAAGTGAAGTTGGCTTTCTCTCCCCGCTTTTCCACCGCGGCTCACACAGGGCATCCAGACATAGTTATGTTGACCGCAGGCTCACTAAGTGGACGCCACCACCAGAGCCAGCTGCAGGCTCCCCAAGGGCAGGGGCAGCGTTGGCAGTGTGTGTGGCAGCACTTCTCACGGGATCTTGTGCATATGTACCAGGCATGGCTGCAACCCTCCCCAACCAGCCGAACAGTTACAAAGCAAGTAGACAGAAGGAAAGAACATATTTTAAGGATAGATTCCATTTATCTCACCCTCAGTGAAAAAATATGATCTGGTTCCATCTTGTCTAACATAAAAGTTTTCTCCAAGTTTGCTGCTGGCTTTGAACCTAAGCATGGTGTGATCATACAGCCCATAGTCACGGAACAAGATACTTTTCCCCGGTTTCAACACCTACAAAATAAAAGCAGGCTGCATAGAACTTGTGGAACCGCATCAAATAAACCAGTCTGTGGGAGGAATTAAAATAACTTAGATTTGTGGTGATTATGGTTGGGGCCAGGCTGAAACACCCATAACATGAAGGAAAAGGACGTGTTAATGAAAAGGACATAAGACCTGACTGAGGACCACAATACTGGAGTGTGTTTTAAGCACCATCTAGGGCATTCTAACATCCAAGGTCACAATTAAAACACAAAGATAAACAAAACAGTCCTATCCTCATTAAAGCATACTTCTCCCAACAGCTTTTTGGCCATTTCCTAGTACTCAACTGTCCTTTACGAAAGCATGCCATCGTGGCTTGTGATCCCAGCGTGTTTCCCTCATCTCTAGGTCTCAATGCTGGCGTCACTGTACCACAGGGACACACTGCTCATGCTGACCCTGACCACGCCCCTGCTCATCAGCTTGCCGTTTCTTAATGGACTGCTGCCCAGTTCTGGAAGGAAGGGATGTGACCACTATCCTAATGGGAGAGGAGGGAAACAACAATCGGAAAGGTTGAGAGATTCACTCAGAATCACCTACTAGAGTGGCCGAAGTGTGGGGACAGACACTTTTGCCAGCCCTTGTGAGCAGGAAAGGTATCACTCCATTCTCACTAAGCAGCAAGAGTGCTCAGAAGGGAGGGATGGTTTTCTCCCTCATACTTGTTCAGGTGTGCTGGGCTTCTTGATGCAAGTGAATCATGGGGCCAGAGTGCAACAGGTGAGGGAGGGGCCAGTTCAGGACTGGGCGGCAAGTCCCACATGAAAGCCTTCTGGAGACAGGTACCCAACAGCAGCTGTCTCAGATGGCCACATGCTTCTCAGAACGCCAAGTGGGCCCCATAGTGGCCCTTGCTTTTTACATGGAAAGTCTTACCAGTACCAGCAATATTTACATGCTGTCAGTAAAGAAAAATCCTTTTAGATAAAAGCATTCTTACCTTGGAAGAAAAGCTAAGTTTTCAAATGTTAATAATTAAGAAGGAAAAGTTTTAAAAAACTTAGTTCACATGGGACTTAGTCTTCACTTCTGAAGGAAGGAAAGGCTGCCTGGGACAGAGGAAAGAACACTCACTCAAGACCCCAGAAACATGATTCAAACCCCAGTCTTTCCCTTTACCTAACTGAATGCCCTTGAGCAAGCACTTTCACTCCTCAGAATGTGCTCTGATCTGTAAAATGGTAATTATGATACTGCTGCCTCCTTTGACCCAGACATGACACAGTTAACCAGGTACTTCCTAGTATCATGCTATTTCTTTCAATGATGCCAAGAAGCAGGTATGTTAGGTACAGTTATACCCACTAACAATAAATGTGACTTACTTGCCTGACATCTCAAGGCAAGTCAGTGACATACAGAAGGTCAAAATTCAGGTCTTCTGATGACAAAGTTGGCATATTTTGCTATTCTATTAAAAAACCAAACTGAAACAAACCAAACTGAGAGGGAAGCCAGGCATGGTAATGCATGCTTGTTAATCCCAGGTACTTGGGAGGCTGATTAGGAGGCTGAGACAAGAGGATCATAAGTTCTAGGTCAGCAGGGGCTACTTAGCAACACACTATCTTAAAAAAAAAAAACTTTAGCTTTTTTGTTTGTTTGTTTTTGCAACACAGGGTCTCAACTATACAGGCCAGGATAGCCCTGAACTCACTCTGTAGCCCAGGTTGACCTAAATTTACAGCAATTCTTGCTCAGCTTCCGAGTCTTGAGATTATGTCTGGCTTGGAAATTTAATTTTAACTTTAAGATTGAACAACTTGGAGTAGTAAGATGTGTACAATGGCAGCTGATCACTGTGACTGTTTATGTCAGGCTTCGGAGCATCCACAGGGTATGTCTCAACAGGAGTCGAGAACTGCTTTCCCTCTAATAATCTCCTGATTCGCGCACCATTTCACTCAGTGAAACCAGCTGCTGATGGCACAGACCTCATCCCAGATCAGCTGGAAAACAATTTCCACTGGAGAGTAGAAAAGGCAGGTACTGAAGTGCACTATGCTACTAAACAGTGGGACTGGGGACAGTGCAAGTCAATGTTTTCTCTGTTTTTTTTTTTTTTGGTACTGGGGATCGAACTCGACCTCATGCTTATTAGGTAAGCACTATAGCTAAATCCCCAGCTCTAAATTTTTTCTTTTTTAATATAATGTTTCTTACCTACTAAAATATATGTAACATACTACATGTTTTCATGACATGACGTTCAGGAACAGGTGAAAATGACTTATGAGAACAGATCTATAAAACAGTGGCTACCGGGGCTGGGGATTTAGCTCAGCGGCATAAGCGCCTGCCTTGCAAGCAGGCAGTCGTGAGTTCGATCTCTGGTACCGATAAAAATGAAAAAAAAAAAACAAAAAAACAAAAAAAAAACAGTGGCTACCAGGGGTGTCAGGGTTGGAAGAGAGGGAAGCTCTGGGAAGCTTATAGAGGTTCTAGAAGAATTCTGTACCTAGGTCAGTGGTGCTGGACCTATGGCATGTGTCCACAGTAAGCATGCACAGCCCTCTTCTATGATGACATTGTGAGTTGTACTTTTTTGCTAAATTAAAACCTTAGTATTTAAGTGTAATTGCAGTGTTGAAACTCTGTGATTAATAAGTGGGTTTTTAAAAGGTTCACCATCACTGATCCACATAGTGTTTACAAGTGTACACACATATTAAAAAAAACCCTCTGATTGAATACAGTGGTACCTTGGTTTATGAACTTAATTCTTTCCATGATTCTGGTTGCAAACCGACTTGCATGAGAACCCAATTAAATCTCCCCATAAGGTCAACATTGAACCTAACCACTGAATTTGATGTGGTTTTCAACCAATTATGTTTGTAATCAGAATTGTAGAAAGGATTAAGTTCATGAACCAAGGAACCACTGTACTTAGAATTGTGGGACTTATCACATAGTATTAAGCTTCAAAAAGCCCACAAAAATCTAGGTACTGGGCTGGGGTTTGGCTGAGTGGCATAAGTGCCTGCTTGGCAAACGCGAGGTTATGAGTTCAATTCCCAGTATGAAAAAAAAAAAAAACAGGTACTATGCATTAGCTGTAAATTATATATTGAATCTTCCGTCCACTTTCAGATCTAGAATATCATCAACAGTGCTGCGTCCACCTATGTCCTGCTGCTCCTCTGCACCATTCCCTTGCCCTCCTCTAGAACAGAATTGCTAGAGTACAAGGCCCAAACGGCCTAAGATTAGAGCTGGGGGGGGGGGGTAGGGCCATCATTTTAAACAGAAAACAAAATTACAACTTTATGTTCACTGCTTCAAGTGGGAACTTAGCACTCTTTAATTATAAATTAGGCAACTAAAATTTTTACACTAAAGAAAACCAGAGAGCCTCACATCCCTGTACAATTCTTGCAAATACCTTAACCTCATTCCCCACTACTTCAAAATCATGGAACTTATTAGCTCTACCACTAGAGATCTTGCTAATCAATGTGTTAATTGGAAGCATATTAGAGTCTTATTTATTAACAAATTATTAAATATATTTAAATATAGATTTCCTTTACAACCTATTCTAGACAGTTAACCTTCTGAAGAGTCCCTTTTTTATTTTATTTTTGGACAGGGTTTTGGTAATTGTCTAGGTTGGGCTTGCATTTCAAATTCTCCAGCCTCAGTCTCTCAAGAGACCTGGGATTACAGGCTTGTGCCAACAAACCTAGCCAGACTTAATTCTGCTAATCCAATAATGTCTCGTTATGACTTTACTGTATTTTATATTTCACGGGTTACTGAGGTTAGTTTCACGTCCTGTAAGATTATGTGTATCTGTTTATTTTTGTAACCTGTTTTCCATGATAGGTAGAAATTACTCAGTCTAGATATCTTTTATTTATTGTACAGATTGTAAATTACTTTTAGTTTTTTACAATATTGTCTTTTGAAGAATAGAAAACTCCTATTTTATAATCTTTCTGCTTATAATGTTCTGGGTCTTCTTTGAGTTCATTTTCTCCAATCTAATGTCGTATTCTTTTCTGAATTTTTTTTTTCTTTTTTGGTACCGGGGGATAGAACTCATGACCGCGTACTTGCAAGGCAGGCGCTCATGCCACTGAGCTAAATCCCGAGCTTCTTTTCTGAATTTTTAAAGTTTCTGTCTTTTTATCCAAGTCTTTAATTCAGCTGGGAATAATTTTTATATAAACTGTGAGTTTGAAGCCAGCCTGAACTAATATACTTACTTCCAGGTGTGGTAGTGCATTTATACTTTGGGACATGGTAGGTAGACATTTTCTGGATCATTCTACAAAAAATAAATCTACACCAAGCTTTTCATATTACTAACTTGTGTAAGTATGCACTGCATGAAAAATTTTCATAGGGTTCTGAAATGTGTGTTACAATTGAGAAATTGAAATTTTTTTTTTTACATTCACAGGGATGTGACCCAATATGCTTTTCTGCTCCCCATTTTATTTTGAGACAGGGTTTCACTAGTAGTTCAGGCTGGCTTAAAACTCACAGCAATTCATCTACCTCAGCCTCCCCAGTGCTGTGATTACAGGTATGTGCCACCATGCCCACCAATGCATTCTTAAACATAGGCCAATTGAAGACTTCTCTGTGTTGGGCCTATGTTGGGCATAGCGGCATACACCTGTAATCCTAGCACTTGTGAGGCCGAGGGAAGAACACTGCTGCAAGTTCAAGGCCAGCCTGGACATAGTAAGTTTAAGGGCAGTTTGAACTACATGTTATTTTACAAATACGAATGAAATCAAAATGACTAAGGTGAATGAAATCAAGTATGAATATGAATGAAACCAAAATAAGCTACAAAAATCGCACCGATGTGAACTGCCTCTACTATGCAAATGTGTGCAAGAAAGGTCATATGATACTGAAGGCTCCCACATTCTGTATTTATAGCTACACCCCAGTGAGTTCTTTCCTGTTTTCTGAGGTTACAATGATGACAGAAGGCTTTTCCTCATTGCTTACACACATGGGGTTTCTCTCTGGTGTGAGTTCTTTCAGGTATGTGAAAATACCTAGAAGTGAAGGCTTTCTCACAGTGCTTATTCACGCAGGAATTCTTCCCTGCGAATTATGTCTACGAAGCATACCGCTATCTGTGAAGGATTTCCCACTTGGTGACATACATAAGTCCACACTATTGAATTCTTTCAAGTCTATAAGTGTGTTTGTTATCAATAAAGGGCTTCCCACATTACTTACATACACAGGGTTTCTCTCCACTGTGAGTTCTTTCATGAATATGAAAATAGCTGGAAGTGAAGGCTTTCTCACAGTGCTTACATGCATACAATTTCTTCCCACTGTGATTTCATGTCTATGAAGTATACTACTACCTGTGGATTTCCCACACTGCTGACATATACAAGGTTTCTCCACACTGTGAATTCATGTTTACAAATGTTTATCAATAAAGGGCTTCCCATATTGCTTACATACACAGGGGTTCTGTCCAGTATGAATTCTTTCATGTACTTAAAGATAACTGCATGTACAGAATGCTTTCCCACATGGCTTACATAAAGATATTCTCTCCAGTGTCTTTTCATGTCTCTGTAAGTTACTGGATCGAATGGATGTTTTCTCACATTGCTTACATTCATAGGCTGTCTCCCCACTGTGCATTCTTTCATGCATTTGAATATAACTGAAGAACTAAAGGCTTTCTCATTGCTTACATTCACAGGGTTTCTTTCCAGTGTGACTCCTTGCATTATGAAAGCAGTGTGAATAACTGCAGGTTTTCCCTCGATATCTGTATCTACATAGATCCAGATTTTTTTGGTATTGGGACTTGAACTGATGACCTTGTGCTTGCCAGGAAGGCACCGTACCACTGATACAGTTTTCTTTTTTTTTTGGTTGTAATACTGGGGATTCTTTTCTTTTCGAGACAGGGTCTATGTAGCCCAGGCTCCTGTCTCAGCCTCCCAAGTGCTGGGATTACAGGCTTACACCACTATATCTGGTTTACTTCTCCAAATTTCAGATCTGAGTTCTGATGATGATCCTGAGCTGTGATGGGCATATTTAGTGATGAATGGCCAATCTGGATTTCTCTACACATAAGCCTTTCGCATGGTTTTAAACCAGGTTTCCTGTTCACATTAGGATTTGGAATCTAACTGAAGATTTCTCCACATGGACTCCCTAGAAGATACTGGCAGAATCTTTCTACCTCCTGACTTCTTAAAATTTCTCCTAGAATTTTTATTGTAAATGCATAGTTCAATTAGGGAAGAATATAAAATATATCCATGAACACAATATTTCTCACAGCATCAATTTAACAACCTTCAATAGTTATATATAATTTACTATCTTATATATATGTCAGATTCAGTCTTAGATAGTTTTCATTATTATATTACTACCCAGAAAGATTCTTTAGCCAAGCATGGTGGTGCATGCCTATAATCCCAGCACTTGGGAGGCTGAAGCTACAGGATCATTGCAAGTTTGGGACCAGCCTGGGCTACAAAGTGAGCTCAAGGCTAGCTTGAACTGCACAATAAGACCCTGTCTCAAAAAGACCCCCCTCCCCAAAAAAAAAGAAAAAAGAAAAAAAGAAAAAGAAAAGGGATCAAACTCATGACCTTGCACTTGCCAGGAAGGTGCTTATGCCACTGAGCTAAATCCTCAGCTCTACATTTTCTTTATATTATCTGTTAATCTTACATGCAAAGACAGATTCAATTTACGGCTGCAATTTGCTGGCCTCTGATGATGTGATACTAGAACATGGTAGGCAAATGAACTGATACATATGTCATGTATATACACATATCCTCTCTCCCCTGCACAAAAGGCCTAAATGGGAAACAATCAGTCTTGAAAACAGGAGATCAAAAATGCCAGCCCTAATCAACCTGTCCTGACCCTGCCATTCGTCACGGTTCTCTTTGAGCTCTTTGAATTCAATGGCTGCTCTGTATGGCAGCTAAGCCTTACAGACTAATTGGGGCTGGCATTTTTGATCTCTAGCTTTCAAGGCTGATTTTTTTTCCAGCTAGGACTTATTTTCAAAGAAACACACTACACAGTTTTTATTTCTATAGATCTAGATCTTCATGTTTACCAGGCAAGTGTTCTACCATAGAACTAGATTCCAACCTTTTTTGAAACTTTTTAAAAGTCCGGGGTGTGTCTGTGGATGACGGACATGCAGACCAGCAAACTGAGAGGGGAATCCTCAACCTGGATGTGGGTGGCACCATGGATGTGAATTTTTATGCAAGAAAACTCCTCACCACCTACTGACTGCACAGGCTACATAGTGAGAGTGGAGTCTCTGACTCTGGACAGTACCCTGGCCTCAGAGGGAGAGTAAGTAAGGGATCAAGGTGGGCACCTCTTAAGCATGGGTCCCGAATTACTAACCTTGTAAATGTTTTGTAACACAAGGTGCATTTTATCAGGGTGAACAGCTGAAAGCACAAATATCAACATGACAACGTCAACAGACTCTCGTGGTACATGACCCAGAAGGTCATCTTTAGTGAGGTCACACTGAAATACCTGGCATTTTTCTGCAGTATAGAGTGGATTTTGCTAGAGGGAAAAAACAAAAACAAAACAAAAACTTAATTACAATAATATAGCATTGAAAGGCGATCCTATGCAGTGCTAGACAAAAATGATCACTATTACTAGGTAAAGCTGAACAATGAATTGTTCACATATAAAATATGATTTTTAGCAAACAATTTTTAACTGAGATAATAAAACTGGCCTCAGCTCTCTTAATCCTCCTCTGAACAGATTTCTCCTTCTGAGAAGCACATCCAAATTCCCTAAATTGGGTGCTCCCATATTTTTTTCTGGGATAGATTTGCCCTTGATGCAGCAAGGGTTTCTAATGCAGCATTTTTTTTTTTTAATCGGTACTAGGGATTGAACTCCCGACCACACACTTGCAAGGCAGGTGCTTATGCTGCTGAGCTAAATCCCCAGCCCTGCAAGTGTTTCTAATACATACTGTGTTTCTAACACATACTGGTTATAACTCATGTTTAAAAATATCATGAAGAAAAATATAAACTTTTCTTTCATCTAAACAAGGACCTGAATAGACATAAAAAGTTACTAGGTAGGAAAATTCAGTATTAAAAGATGGCAATTCTACTTAAAGCTTCACCTACGCATCCAATGCAATCTCAACAGAATTTCAATAGATTTATAGAAACTTCAATCCATTTTATCTGGAAGCAAGAATCAATTTTTGTAATGAAGGAGATACACTGTTGTTATGGCTTGTGTTATGTCCCCCCAAAGACTCATGTAGTCATAGGGGTTTTTTTTCTGGAGGTGACTGAATCAGAATGTGTGATTGATTTGTAGAGCAATGCTGGGATTAAGGGTTCAAGGATTAAGGGTGGCTGACTGCTGAATCAGTCCAATGACTAGAATGAAATGTCCTAATCCCAGTAGATTAGATACAATATAAGGGACAGAAAGAAAAGAGGCTTGTCTTGCTCATTTGTTGCTTTTGCTGCTTTTTGCTGCCATAAACTATTGCCCCTCTGCCATCTGCCAACCCATCTTGAAGCCAGTGGATTATGGGTTGAAACCTCTACACACTGTGAGCTAAATAAACCTTTCCTCCCTTAACTTGTGGGTATTGCGTACTTTGTCTCAGCAACAAGAAAAGTAACTACGACACTGTTACATATCAAAACACGGTACAAAATGTAGTAATAAAATGTGGTTTGAGGATTAGGACAAAGAGCTCACTTTGAGACATAATAGAGTCCTAAAGCACACTGGTGTGTGTGCAAATTTGGTATTTTATGACTAAAATACAAAGGATGATTAGTAAAAAGGCAGGTAACGAGTCATATAACTTACTGTGTCCTGACAACTGGCTACCCAGATCACTGACAGACTTCCAAATCTGGCTCAGAAAGGAATAGATGAGGAAAAATATAGCTCCCATTCTTACAAGAAAATACCTTGCAAATAAATGACTTTTTTGTGAACAACAACAAAAAAAAAAGATAACAGAATCTATCATCTCAAAATCTGTCTAAAAAATGGATGAGGAGTTTGATCCCCGGTACCCAAAAAAAACAAAAAACAAAAGGATGAGGAACTAGATATTGGCATGTTGCTAAAGTGTCCCCCACACAACATTTGTTAATGGCAAAAGTAAATATTTTTACAGTGGATTAATCAGACAGCTACTACTTTAATCCAGTGATTAAAACTAATATCACTTTAGTGAGATCACCAAGCATTACTGCCTCCTGACAAGAAACAAATAAGCAACATACAATAACACCTATCAAATTATTTTTTGCCAAAAATTATTTAAGTATAATTTTTAATTTATAAGAAATACAGAAATAGAGGGACACCCTAAATAATAATACAAAAAAACAACTAGACCAATTTGGAATGTGAGACTTTAATATACAAAGAGGCCTTGAGGCCTTCTAAAAGTCAGTGTCGGCTGGGAAAAAAGATAAGGGATAGGACATGAGTATTTTAAGCTAGAAAAATTTAAATGATGTAACAGAAGCATAAGAAGTAGATCTTAGTTGGATTAAAAACAGTTGAAAAGCCATCTGGAGCTACCTGGGAAAATCTGAATCTGGAATGGGTACTAGTAAGATATTGGAGGATTACAGTTATGCTTAGCAGGTATGATAAAGTAACACAGAAAGGCCTTACTTTAGGGAAGACATACACAGACATATGTATTTAGGAGTGAATCTTGATGTTTAAAAGAGTTCACCAAGAGTCTGGGAAGAGGGCTGAATAGTAAGCAGCAGAGTAAACAGCCTCTCTGAGAAAAACAGTCCAGATCCTGGAATATAGCATTCTGGAGAAGACAAGGAGGAAAGAAGTGGGTCCCCTCAACCCAGGAAGAAACTAAAGTCAGAATTGAAGCCCGCTGAGAGAATAATAAAAACAAGAAAAACTTAGACAGAAGAAGGCAGTAGCTGGTGGCGCTCTCACTGGAGCTAGAACACCGTGCCAGAAGCGCTGTGGGAACCCAGAGACGTGGGGGCACAGTGAAGCTGGTCAAGCCCAAGGCCTTGGCGGGGAGACGCAGTGGCAGAGGGGAGCAGCAGACCAGAGAACTGCACTGGCTGGCACTGGGTATGTGGAACTCAGTTCTTCCACGGTAGTGGGAGATAGACTGGGCACCATTTTGGAGTCCGGCAGAAGAAGCTGGGGACAGAACTACAGCCAGCTTCCTGGAAACTGTTTGCGCTGAGTCCTGCCCCTCTGCGCTGTCCAATAGCTACTGCCAGGTTTCCCTAAAGCTATCTGTAACCAACCCCACCAGCCCAGCCACACTGCACACTAAGGTGGTAAAGACTCCCTGTGGTTAGCCAGCTCAGAAGAGTGCGGTCAACCTGCCCGCCCCTGCTTATACTCCAGTAGCCACCGAGCAAACTGGGGAAAGCATCAATCCCTAGTCAACACACTTCAGAGTAATTATAACTAATACAGGAAGTACCAGGGACCCCTGCTACCCACTTGTTGGGAAGAAACCAGGAACACGACAACAGGAAGAAGCAAAAGGCAGTCTCTGGCCTGCAACCCAAGCAGTGCTGGTCCAGATGTAAACATAGAAGAGATCAGGAGTTGCACACCTGCAGTTTTTGAAGCAACAGCAACTGAAATAAAGAAACTACATGACCTATAAAAGAACTTAAAACAGAAATACTATTACAAGTAAAAGAAGATATGAGAAACATAATAAAAGAATTGCTAAGTACCTCTAAAGAAGACACAGACGAAAGAATAGACATAAAAAAGGTGGGAAACAAAAGTAAAGACAATTCTATAAACGAAAAGTGTACAGTGCATAGGTCTTGCTGTAATAATTTTTCCTACATTCCTTGATTAAAGCTGTGTTTATGTGTTGGGCATGTATGTGAAAGGAAACCTATACTTGCAATGATTTTAGCTGGTTAGCTCTAGGGAAAGGACTGGATTTAGGAAAATGGGGACAGAGGGCAAGTTGAACAAATCCAAGAAAACAGAAATACAAAATATACAGGTGGCACACCAACCTTAACATATTCGACTGCTCTTGGAGAAAAATCACAGGCATAGGCAAAGATATTCAAATCTTCCTCTAAAAGAGGGAATAAACAGTTTCCAACTCCACAACCAGCTTCAAGAATAGTCAATTTTTGACCTTCAAACTAAGGAAAGAGAACCCAAATTATAATAATTACATATGCATAATGACAACATCCAGAAATTAAGAGTCAAATCTCCCATCCAGCAGGGCAGACAATAATAAACAAGAAAACTCACAAGCAAAAGTCCATACCAGTACTTAATTTATTATTACTCAATACTGGATAATTTGGAGTGGAGGAAAAAACTAGTAGACCAGCTAACTGAAGAGACTCTGGAACAAATCTGCATACAAATCTAAACTCCTCCTCTGCCCCTGAATTCTATCCTTGGGCCAATCAAACAGCTCTGGCCCTTTCACCTGCAAATGAGGACAATACTAACAGACATCACAGAATTCCTATGGAGCTTCAGAATTCCTACAAAGCTAATAAAGCTTAAATGAGAGAACAGGTATTAAGTTCATAGGAAAAGGCCAAGCTAAATAGTTCATTAACTATCATTATTTCAAGTGTCATTGAAGTTCAGATTATGAATATTTAATGTTTATAACTTTCAGTTTAATTTTTAAAAAATAGAAAACAACCACTATAATTCCTTTTATGTATTAACCCAGAAATTACTAAAACTACTTGAGCAGTGCGTTTCTCTTCAAAGGTGCAAAATATTTTGATAGGCTCCATAAATTTCCTATTTCACATTCCCTTCAGGAATGCAACAAAATATTTCTCTTCAATACATTTTTTAAAAAGAACAGTTCAGGGAGAGGTGAAATACCAGCTTACCTCCCTACATGATTTTAGCTCTTCAAATTCTCTGGTGGTCCAGTGTCTATTTTTGAAAAAATTGGTACTATTTCTTTTGTAAAAGAGGTCCCAGTTTTTCTGAGCCTCATCTTCCAGTTTTTGCTGTTTAAAATCAGACACCAAAGCTTGATCACTTTGCAGTTTCTCTTTTTCTTCAGAAGTGAGGATCCTCGCTTGTAATCCTTTTCTTTGCAAGGAAGCCATCTCACAAGTGGATGGTAACACATTTAACATTGGTTCTCCACCTTATAATTTGAGAATACATGCTGATATTGAAGACCCAGGGTTTCCTCTAGGATGCTTTTTTTTCCCAAGTAGTTTTCACACCTCAGTGTTATAGAAGGTGCCTTGAAGGAAGAAAGAGATTCTGGTTAGTGGTTCTAGAACATTCTCTCCAGAACACAGAAGGTGCGGTTCCAGAATAGTCTCTTATGACACTGGTTTAGTTGTTCTACATCAGAACTCTGATGCTGGGTTCAATTCACGAAATATGAGACACCACACGGCACTACACAAAACCCGACCTGCTCTAGGTAGAAAGGTTACAGAGACCAAGACTCAGTTCTTACTTTAAAAGCGCTTACATTCATGGCCGGGTCAGCCTGGTGCACTGAACTCTGACACAAACCAGAACTGATCAACTATGACAATAAAATCGGTTCCGTTTCATAAAAAAACAAAACAAAACTCCCACGAATTGACAGATACCCCTGGACAAAAATACTCAATTTCAGTGCCCGTGAAGAGCGACTTAACAAAACAGCTACCTGCGCAGAAAGCGGGGAGTCAACTGCCAGATAAAGTGGGATTATCGTTTCCCTCGGAGGAGACGGCGCTAAGTGTAGCGGCCTGAAGCTTTGATTGTACTCATAAGAGGCTGTCGCAAGAACCAGGAGCCGTCGCTTTCCGGGACTGAGGCCCTCGCAATGGCCACCACGGCCCGAAGGAAGTGACCCTGAGGCTCGCGCTAAGGTCCTGGGGAGCCACCTTTTCCAGGCCATTCGGGATAATGCAGGCCGCGCTGGCCCCCGGGACCTATGGAGCCACACTAGCTACCAGACGCGCGCCACGCTACTCGCACGCTCGGGGTTCACCGTCATCAGCTCTCGGGTTTACCTCTATGGCGGGGCAGTGTGCGCTCACTGCTCAGCCATGCCCAGCTCTAGGAAGTGGAATCTGGGAACCGCCAGAGAAACACCGGAACCCAAACAGGATGCTACCAGAACTCGGAGCTCCGCTGGGTTCTGGTGGACTCCTCTCGCTGTGGCACCGCCCACACTACTTCCTTTAAAGACCGGAAGTCCCGCCCAACGCCGGAAGTCCCGCGGTCTGGCGTCTGTGCAGTCGTCCTCTGCCGACACGGAGGAACCTTGTTGCCGGCCTCAACTGGGTCCCGGCTCGGCTCTCGGTGCGCTCCTTACCGGACGCCGGTGCGAGGAGCTGGGGCTGTGGCCGCGAGGGCAGAACGCTGATTCAGAGCCATGAACGGGACGGCGAACCCGCTGCTGGACCGAGAGGAACATTGTCTGCGCCTCGGTGAGAGCTTCGAGAAGCGGCCGCGGGCCTCCTTCCACACCATTCGCTGTAAGTCCGCGCCTTCCTTGCTTCTCTTGGGCTGCTTCGCCGCCACATGTCAGTCTCGGCTCTTCCTTCTTCCCTCGGCCCTCCAAAGTACAGAGGACTGATTCCCTGGTAGCGTCAGCTCTCTTCTGTGTTACCCCAGATCCTCTGAAGCTCGGTTTGTTCCTTTTAAATTTTTTTTAGAGCACTCCACCCAAACCAAGCCTTTTGTCACAAATTATTTTTCTACCTTACAGTCCTAAACACTCAGAAAGACTTCGACTCTTTCCTATTTTACCCCCTCACAGAGCTCTGAAGCCAGACTTCCCTCTTTCATCGGGGTCCAGCTCTCCCTCGAATCCCTTTCTCTCTTCCCCCTTTTTGATGATCCTATCAGAGTTCTTCATTTCTAATAGATTCTTCCCGTTTGCTCTGAGACTCACCTGCTTCCTACTCCATTCTCTCCTGTTCTTCTGCTTTGGTTCTGGCCACTGATCCTGTGTTTATCCCATCTGCAGTTTCTGTGCCTCATCAAAGCCTTCCTCTACTTTTCCGTGCCTTATTTGATACTAATGTCTTTTGAGGTCATCTTCACCACCCTGATTTCTGGACCAAGTTCCTTGTAGATGAAGAATAAAATTAAAATTTGTGAGCCAGGCATAAAATACAGCACGGTCTATGTTTGGAAACAAGAGCAGACAAAAGGAATGTCGAGATAGTCATTATGCTGAGCTTTTTCCTTCATGATTATAGACTCTTTTGAGAAGGGCCACTTCCACTCTGTGTTTTGGGTAAAGCTTTGGCTCTTAGGATTTGGTTGACAGAGCATCCTCAGTGATTCACTGGCTTTGGATTTCCTGTGGCACTAACGCTGGTATTAAGACTTGTTTTTGTCAGACGAGCTAATAGATGTGACTCAACACATTAGAAGAGGGTGGGTTAGATAATGAAGCACCTAGCTGGGCGAGGTGGTGCATCCCAGCACTCCAGAGAGTGAGGCAGGAGAATCTGCGAGTTTCAGACCAGTCTGCGCTACAAAGTGAGTTCAAGGCCACCCCGAACTTCATAGGGAGACCCTGTCGCAAAAAGACGACCCCCCCCCCAAAAAAAAAACAATAAAAACAAGGGTAGTGACATTTCTTCTATCTTTGTGTGGTCGCTTGTCATGCCTTTCTTTGGTCCTCTTGCTAGTAGACCTAGCTCTTTGAAACCCTGAATGTTGGCAGTGTAATAAGACCATCATTTCCCGACTTTACTAAGCTGGTATTTTTTTCCAGTAAAGAGCAATGTGGTATTTAATTGAGAGAGTTCCCCCATGTGCCTGGCCTACAGTTTGGAGCAGGCTGTGCTCATGTGAAGATGGCCATGTGGTTGCGTGCCTGCAGTTCCCTAGAAGCACTAGCAGGAGAACTTTCAGGGATACAGTTCATCTGTCTAGTCTGAACATGTAGACAAAACCTTTATGTTGTGGAAGTTGGGTGTGGCAATTCTAATTTTCACAGGTTCATTGCCAAATCAGCTTTTATGATGCTGTGGCCTTTCATGTTTTGTATAGAGTTTTACAATTAAGAATTTCTTATATGTTCTATTTTTCTTGATCCTCACAACCCTAATAAAACATCTTATTATGGATGATGAAGCATTAATTTCATCTGTCCTTTGCAAGAAGGGAATATTTTGCTTTGTAAGATGCCGTGTAAATTCTCCTCCTTCCCCCCAAGTTTTCCAATGGAGGTTGGATGAAATGTCCTGTATGTTTTGTGTGCATGTGGTGGTATCCCTTGGTAATTGTTGAAACTGGATGAAGAGACTTTGGAGTTCATTGTAGTGTTCTTTCTACTTTTGGGTATGTGAAGTTTACCATAATGAAATAGGTCTTTTTAAAAAATTTTAAATTAAGTTTATTGGTACAATTTAGATAGACATAAAGACCATATTCATCATAGGAAATTTGAAGCTGTATATGATATATTTTGATTTATAATGAAATAGTTTTTTAAAGAATTCTGAATCATTTTTATTTTCCATTTTGTTATTCCAGTTTTGTGAATAACACTCACTTTTAATTTTTGAATGAAGGGTCAAGGATTTAGCCCAGCCATGAAGCACCTGCCTGGCAACCACGATCCTGGTACCAAAAACAAAACAAAACAAAAAAATCTTGAATGAAATGCCCAGTAAGTCGTTATTCTAATGTAACTGATGGGAAATCCTCTTTTCCTTTGCCTGCAGATGATTTTAAACCCGCATCTATAGATACTTCCTGTGAAGGAGAGCTTCAGGTTGGCAAAGGAGATGAAGTCACAATTACCCTGCCACATATCCCTGTGAGTTTATTCCATTGTTGTTGGTTTTAATATAGGATTACAGTGAATCTTCGTATTTTATATTACTGCAATTTGAATTTCCTACTGTTGAAAAATATTTAGATTTCTAAAGCACCAACATAAGTGAAAAAGGAATTTGGCAGGATGGAAGAGGGTGGAATTTGTTACATAGTTGATTTAAAATGATTCTTTAATTTTTCCCAATCCCCCTTTCCCCTTATGCTTATACAGTAGTCAAGATTCCTGTCTGTACAACTAGCCCCTCTGTTAGAGGTGCATAGCTTTCATCCCAAGCAACTCTGCTGATTCATAACCATAGTAGCTCATGAGCAGAGGGCAATCAAAAGACAGGCAAGAGTAGGTTTGCCCCCTGGATGTCTGGTGAGGAGTCACAGGCAGGGTGATGGTCTCAGGAAGGAGCCAGGTTTGGAGCATTGAGCTAATGTAGAGATGACGCATTACACCGAGCACTGAGCAGACTTTTGTGCAGCCCTGCTCAGGACATTGCCCTGATCACAAAGCCCAGAAAGCCACTCAGGGAGCTCTTACGAAAATGTGTCATTGTGTTTCTGTGTCGCTGTCCTGGAACACAGTTCTGTTAGGTGCTGATAGAATGAAAATGTTCTGGACAGAAAGATCTGGAAATCTGTAAGCTGAAGAGAAATTATTTCCCATTCATCCTGTTTTATTACTTCTTGTCTGTGGCAAGTTGCATCATCTCCCTTTGGACCTTGGTTTCCCAAACGTAAGATGAGGGAGTTAGTTAAATGGTCTCAAAGTTGTCTTACAATCCTGAATTTTTATTGTGTGAGTAAGGAGTCAAAGAGCCAGGCGGTTTTCAATCCTAAACCAAGTATTAAATCCTACGCTTGACAAACTTTAATTGAACGACTTCTGTGTACTGGCCATTACTGAACACTAAGAATACAATCCTGACAAAATCATTTCTTGCTCTTGTGGAGCTTAGAGTTTGGAGTTTAAATAAATATCAGAAAATACAGCACTTATTCTACAACAGTCAAGGAAGGATCCATTAAAGGTGGTGGTCCTTGAGATTATCGGAATAACGGTGAAGATGTAGTAGGCAGAAGCTTTGGTAAAGCCCTGAGGCAGGGCTGAGCTTGAGAATCGGAGAGAACTCTGCTCCAAAGCACACTGAGCCCAGCGGTAGATGGTACAAGGCTTACGGATGTTGTCCTTTGGTTTGAGAGTGACAGTGAGCTGCTGAAGGACTTGAATGGGTAAATGTCATGAGTATCATGTACTTGCTCTTAACTGCCCAGAACAATAACCTGTCCTTAAAGTATGGTCTGTTATTAGCTGGATGTGGTGGTATGCAAGGCTGACGCAGGAGAATCATTGCAAGTTTGAGACCAGCCTGGGCTACAAAGTGAGCTCGAGGCCAGCTTGAACTGCATAATGAGACCTGGTCTTAAAAAAGAAAAAAAAAAAAGAAAAACAAAAAACGCAGAGTGCTCTGTTACTGACCTGAGGGGAACCCTGTGCTCCAGTTATGAAGAAACACAGAGGTTACTCACTTGCCTTACTATGCGAACGTAGCGCTGCCTCTACTTAGTGTAATACACACAGTAGTTTTTCTCAGTTCATACTTTCGCTGCTCTTTCTTTAATGTTTCCCAATTTGTTAGAAACATGTACAGTAATAAAATGTTTTATACTATCTTGATTACCTACAGCCAGTTGCAGTCAAGGATCCTTGCTGCATTATTCTTTCTCTTTTATTTTGTCCAAGAAACCAGAGTGATTTAAAATAGAAATCCGTTCTTTTTGAGTACCTCTAATGAAAGATTTGATGAGATAGAAATACCAGTTTTTTTTGCAACATCAGCTTTGACATTGATACTCATAACTGGTGTGTTTAGTTTGATCATCTCACGTTTCTGTGGCACGCAGGGATCCACACCACCGATGACCGTGTTCAAGGGGAACAAACGGCCTTATCAGAAGGATTGTGTGCTTATTATTAACCATGACACTGGGGAGTATGTCCTGGAAAAACTCAGTAGCAGCATTCAGGTCAAGAAAACAAGGTAGGCAAATAACCAGACAAGGATTTCTTTATTTATTCTATTCCTTTGTATTGTCCGTTGCAGTTTTATAGGTGTAAATGTCTAGTTGTTCCTACTGTTGTATTGATAATGGTAATAGATAGCTTCACGTGTGTGTTCTCAGACATCAGTAAAGCATCTTTTCCTCACATGTAATAAAAGATAATGCTTTTAAGATGTAAAAGGAAGTCTGAGAAGAGCAAGTTCCTGTATTAATTTTGCCAGCTATCAATCTCATGATTGGTAATATAGTGCCATCTAAAGGGGGTAAGCTTTATGTTTATATAGACTTAGAAGCCCAAAAGAATCACTGAATAATTTTATTAGGGTAAAAACATTTCTTTCTTTATAGGGTACACTTGGTAATACCAAATAGACCTGCCTATTTTCTTAAACAGTGAGCTTTCTCTTAATATTTCATTCAACACTCATTCCATGTGTGATTTTTTTTTTTTTTTTTTTTTTTTTTTTTTTTTTTTGTCACCAGGGGTCAAACTCACGACCTCACACTTACTAGGTGAGTGCTCAGGCTACTGAGCAAAAACTCTGGCCCAGTCATTCCCTGTCTAGTAGAAGTAACCAAGTGGTTCTGTTGGTTACATTGTAACAGAGTAATTATAAATACAGCAATTAGAGTTTTTTGGGGGGTTTTTTTGGTATCAGTAATTGAACTCAAGAGTTTGTGCTTGCCAGGCAGGTGCTGTGCTGCTGAGGTATATTCCCACCTAGTAATTGAGTTTTAAAAGAAGTGGTAGAGCCCAATGCTTTTTTATTTATGCTCCCTCAAGCCATTTTTCTTCACTCACTCTACAAAAAAAATAAAACGACTCTCATTTCTCAAGAGGTTATATATCAGGCACTTTGCTGTGTGCTTTATGTTTTTATATGTACCTTACCCTATCTTATCTTCATGAGAAACTTCTAGAAAGATGCTGTTGTCCTTAAAAGAAAAAGAACCTCAAAGAACAGAAAGACTGAAGATTGCAGAGGTTATGACTTAACTAAATGCTAGCGCTAGAGCTGAGGCCTGCACTGTGGAGCCTTTGCTGGGGTTGTGCTGCTCTGTATATCTGTATCATTCCTTAATAGCGAACCAGGTGCTGCTGTTACTCCTTCAGTGTCTGATGGTAGTGATCTGTTTCTTTCTGTTCACTGTGATCTAGGGACAAGTAGCATTGGGTCACCTGGGTACTTGTTAGACATGTAGAACCTCAGACCTCCTAGCTCAGAATCTGCAGAGACCTCCAGGTGACTGTTGTGCTAAATTTTAAAAAGCACTGAAGCTAGCTAGTGTAGTGGCACACAGTAATCCCGGCTACTTGCGAAGCTTGAGGTGGGAGTATCACAAGTTTAAGGTTAGCTTGGGCAGCTGAGCCATTTAGCAAGACCCTGTCTTTAAAAAAAAAATTTAAAAAGAAAAGGTTGTGGGACTGGGGATTTAGCTCAGTGGCATAAGCGCCTGCCTTGGAAGCAGGCAATCGTGAGTTCGATCCCTGGTACCGATAAAAAGGAAAAAGACCAAAAAAAAAAAGAATGTAGCTCAGTGGCAGAGTATTTGCCTAATGGGCATGAAGTCCTGGGCTCAGTTCCTGGTACTGAACAAGAAAGAGAAGGAGGAAAGGAAGGGGAGAGAAAAGAATGTTTAGAATTTGCTGTTTGGTGTGGGCCTCTGTGACACAGCAAGCAGTGAGCAGTAACAAAAAAAACTGGCAAGCTAGTCCCTGTTTCAGGTGATTCAGAAACTTTCAGAAACTTGTGTACTCCTGATTATAACTATGTTGCACACAAGTGAAACGTCCTATTTTCTGCTAGTAAAATGGATTCTAATAGTAACAGTCCTACATTTGTATCGTCTCATTTTTGTCTTTGTGGGTTTTTTTGTTTTGTGAGAGGTTTTTTTTTTGGTTTTGTTTTTGAGATAGGGTCTTACTATGTAGTGCAGCCTGGCCTTGAACTCACTATGTGGTCTAAACTGGCCTCGAACTTGTGACAATCCTCCTACCTCAGCCTCCTAAGTGTTGGGATTATGGGGTTGAGCTACCATGCCTGGCCTGTATTATCTCCTTGATATAAAATGTGAACTTCTTGCAGGTAGTAATACCGTTTTATTTACCTCTATATTTCCGATTCACAGTGTAGGATAGAAGTGCAGGTGTTCAGTGAATAGTACTCAGATCGAATCGTAAATGGTAGTATTTTGCAGTGGTCTTGAAAGGTTGTGGGGTTCTACAGGGACTTGAGGTGCTTGGTTACTGGCATGAACTGGAGAACCACTGTTTACCCATCTGATTTAATGTCTGTCTCACCACAGAGCCGAGGGGAGCAGTAAGATCCAGGCCCGAATGGAACAGCAGCCCACTCGTCCCCCACAGCCGTCACAGCCACCACCACCTCCACCTCCACCTCCACCACCCATGCCATTCAGAGCTCCAACAAAGCCTCCAGTTGGACCCAAGACATCTCCCCTGAAGGATAACCCCTCGCCCGAACCTCAGCTGGATGACATCAAAAGAGGTGGAGAGCCTGTTTGGAGCCATGATAGCTGTAGTGTAGGCATAGGGTGTGAGTGTTCCTGTAGAGATCATAAAACCTGTTTTGACATGGTAGTGTGTGTTCACTGCCATTATGGGTTTGACCCTGGCTATTTGGGAAGCTAAGGCAGGAGAATTGTAAGTTCAAGGCCAGCCTGGGCAGTTTAGCAAGACTGCCTTAAGGTCACAAAGAGCTGGAGATGTATGTCACCCAGCAGTAAAATGCTTGCTTGGCATGTAGGAAGTTCTGCATTCAATTCCCAGTACTGCAAAAAGAAAATTTCTTTCCTCAAAGCCTCCTTTTCCAGAGCTGGGGAGAGTGAAGAAGTCTGCCCTTTACCTCATTTGCCAAGGGTGAATCCAGGAGCAGTGACTTGAATTGTAACTGTCGGTAGCATTCTCAGAGGCACAAGCATATGAAGCTCCATGGGCTGTGGAGCAGGGATAGGTCCTGGATGTCAGGAAGTGGACCAGGGGTGACAGTGCTTCTGAGCTCTGTGCTAATAGCACAACTAAGTGAAGGAGGTCTTCAAAGTACTGCTGCCAAACGCTTCTGCCGACACCGTGTACAAACATGAGGGAGGCCTGAGACCAGTGGAAATGAATTTGGGCCTAGAGGGACATAAAAATCTTGCTTGGCTTCTGTACTGCAACGGCAAGACAAGCTGACCTTGGCGTTCTCCACCATACAATCAATGCTTTTTGTTTGTTTGTTCGTTTTTTTCCTTTTTATCGGTACCAGGGATCGAACTCACGACTACCTGCTTGCAAAGGCAGGCGCTTATGCCACTGAGCTAAATCCCAAGCCCCACAATCAATGCTTTTTGACCTCTAGGCTATTAGAAATTATGAGAGTGTCATCGTTCATTATAAGTTTTATGACAAAACTTCATACTATAGGAGATAAGGATAAAAAAATCATTCTTGGGAAGTTTGCCTTTCCACCCTATAAAAGTGCTGCCTTTTAACAAAGGAATGTCTCTGCACTGTGTAAAGTTGTTCTACCTCTTGTTCCTGTCTTCCCTCATTGATACTGCGATGCTGTTCTGGAAATTTCCACTGTAGCCAAATAGCAATTACACATGCATGGGGAGTTATTGCCAGTTAAGCTTAAAGGAACCATAGCTGTTTAGGGCCACGTGATGTATTTGAATAGGGAAGTGTAATATCTTTTCTTGGTGTGTCCTGTGACATCAAAATGGCAAGGTAAAGCATATTTTTCTTCCACTGTACGTCCGTGAAAAATGCAGCGTGTGACAGACATGTCCACCAGTCATATATGAGAGAGAGTGCGGAAGAGGAGCGCTAAGTCTCCTGTTCCTCTTCTCTCGCCACAGTTCTTCCTACAGGCCTCTGAGAGTGAGGGAGGGTCTCAGAGCCTGTCTGGCTTGGGTTTCTCCTGTGTGCCCTTTGGGCTGTTTAGTAACACTCCTTTCTGCTCCCAATCATCTTGGCTAAGAGCCTTTCCTTACCTTAAATGCCTTCAGGGTTCTAGATTCTCCTGTGTTTCTAAACCAGAGTGACTTAGAAAACTCCCTGGCTTCTGGCCAGTTCTGTTTGGTTATAGATAGATCTAATCTAAGCATTCAGACCTTCTAATTCCTGTGCAAGTATTTTCCTATCCCTTTTATGTAATATTTCTCCTACTGGGATTTTATCTCGTAATTCATCATCATTTTTAAAGTAGATAATTAATAGATTGAGTTTGTTTGTTTCCTAGAACAGTCATTATTCTGAACCAGCCTGCTTTTATTTTGGGTGAATTGAATGTTTACATTGTCTCTCTGAAGCAAGTGAGGTATTTTTGCTTGTAGGTTTTGGTTTTGGTGATTTTTATTTGTAAGTTTTTGGAGTCGGGGAGGGGTGGGGCATTTGTTTTAAATGACTCCTTACTGCTGTAGATTTTGCCAGCTGTTTATAGAGCTTCTGCGCTCTTCCTGGAGGATGGTTGCTGTAATGACCGTGTCATGATCGTCTTATTCCAGAACTGAGGGCTGAAGTGGACATTATTGAGCAGATGAGCAGCAGCAGTGGGAGCAGCTCCTCGGACTCTGAGAGCTCCTCAGGAAGTGATGATGACAGCTCCAGCAGCGGTGGGGAGGACAACAGCCCGGCCTCTCCTCCACAGCCATCCCATCAGCAGCCCTACAACAGCAGGCCTGCTGTGGCCAACGGGACCAGCCGGCCCCAGGGAAGCAACCAGCTCATGAACACGCTCCGTAAGTGTGGGCTGGCTGCGAAGCAGCTTCTGTTTGTCTTAGGCCAGAGTCTAGAAACCTGAAGTCGTTTAAGGTAAGGAAAGGCTCTTGGCCAAGATGATTTGGAGCAGAAAGGCATGTGTTACCGAACAGCCAAAAAAAGGGCACGCAAAATTGAAAAGCTGTGTTTTCTCTTTTCCACTCCCCACTAGCACAAATTGGGCTTCTGAATTCTTGAAAACACTGAAACAAATGGATGGGCTCTTGTCTGTGCATATACCACATTTAAAGGAGAGTACACTGTGCCATTCCTGCCTCCAGGTCTTTTACAAAAAAGAATGCATGGCCTCTCTTTGGAGACCTGCAAAACTTTGGCAAGAATAGAAAGAAGGATGTTTTTAATACAATTGATGCTAGAGTAAAACAGAAGAGAAAAAGAGCAGAAGTGTTGTTGTTTTGGAGCTGGAGAGAAGGCTGATTATGCTGTCTCACTGGAACCCTGAGGAGTGTTCTTGTCGTCCGATCACGGCGGTTGGAAGGTCTGGCAGCCTTGGTGGGAAGCTGGCCTACTAGTGGGATACTGTAAACTAAGCAAGAGTGATCTCAGCCTCAGCCCTGTGAATCTACTGGGTCAGATAAATCTTTGTTGTGGGGCTGTGCTGTGTATTATAGGGTTAGGGTGATTATAGAGAATCCCTAACCTCTGTCCACTAGATGCCAGCACCAGCACTCAACCCTCTGTTAACCCAAAACATTGCCAGAAGTGCCCGCCTTCAGCATAAGATGATACACGTGCAGAAAATTTGGCTTTACACACTAAGAAATTGGAAGGCCTCAGGACCTATATTAACTTGGAATGTCCCTAAATTAAAAATTCAGAATACCAACAAAAAAGAATATGGGCTTTATAGAGCCAGTAAGATCAGAGTCAAGGTCTAAAGTAAAATGGCTGTCCTGGAGCAGAGGCATACCAGTGAGGATACTGGTTTAGGGTATACTGGTATAAACAGCACTCAGCTTCTTCAGTGGGCAGCCTTCCTTGGTGTGTTCTTAGCTTTTGCAGAGCAACTTAAGGTGAACAATTCTACTAAATGGCTTTCTTGTTACTTGTAAGTATTGTCTTGCTATTTATTAACACATTTGAAAACTGTCTCACCTACTCCTACCTCATTCTGTCCTAATAAGCAATATTGTGCTTATGAGACACGAAAAATAGTATTTCTTTAAAAATCTTTACTGTACCCATTTTTTTAGTGAGCCAAATTGATTTTACTGTAAGTTGAATTAGCCAGGTTTTACTGTAGTGTGACAGCCAGTCAGCTAGCCCAAGCATGGTGAGGAAGTCCGCTTTCAGTTCTGTGCTTCTGATCTGATTCTGTTTTCTTTTGTAGGAAATGACTTGCAGCTGAGTGAGTCTGGCAGTGACAGTGATGATTAGCGATCATCTTTCGAAATCTGCTTCCTGGGGTAGAAGTATGCTACGAGACCAGGCTACTTTGGCGTGGAGTCCATTGCCACAAGGAAAATGGTGGTGAATCAGTGCCTATAAGGAATCTGAGGCTTTGGAACTCTCTGATACTCACGTCTTTAACTTAGTCGTGATGGGTGATTTTCTTACATAATTTTTGAATAATGTATTGCAAAGTTTATCTGTAGAAGAACTAACAGAATTATATTTCTATTTGGTTAACATTTTTAATGAAAAAAAGACAAGTGTGCCCTGGTCTAGGTTACTCAAAGGCCATGTCTTTACCAGGTCAGCAGTTTGGTTTAAGTCTCAGTGACCTCCATTTTGGCCAAATGCTCTGCTCCAGTGAGGTGAAACAGTCTTTGAGGGATAAAGAGGAAGAGGGAGACCTCAAACTGCGTCATAGTAACAGGTTACAGCCACTTTAAATTGTTGACATAAAGTGGTAAAGAAGTTTGTCTGACCCGGCTTGACAGACCTGGGTAGAAAGGGACTCAGTGGAGTTACTGAGTGTCAGCTGGGCTGGACACGGAAGGTACTCTGGCTCAGCGCCCTTATTTACAGGAAAGGGAAGCTCATGGTCTGTGACAGTCTTCTGCTCCAAGTCCATGTCCCCTCGAACTTCTCTCTTACTAGAATCAGAGATTTTTATACATGGAGCTTATAGTGTACATTAGCATTTTTACTGGATTCTAAAGGACAAAGCACTAGGTACTCCAGCTGGAATTCAGATCCCAGTCCTCCCTAAGTGCTTTAGGCGAGCGAGTGAGCACATTCAGCCAGCTGCCACTACATGAGGCATGTGGCTCAGTTACATTGAGCCTTTTAGTTTCTGTGGATGCATCCCAGGTGCTCTTCATCTAGTGAGTTTTAGCAGGATGAGGACAGGGAGGAGTGGAAAAAGTGAGCCAGCAGCAGATTTCCAGAAACCAAAACGGAGATAGGAGTTCTGCAATACGGAATGAGCGCATCTTCGATGAGATCTTTGGCTTATGATTTTGTACCACTGTGCCTGACTCCTAGACTAGTTTGTATTTTTATATAAAACTAGAAGAAAGTCACAAGATTGCCTTCTACATGTGCAGTTTCTAGAGGAATCTGATGCTGTTGGAAACCACTAGTAAATGTTCCATGTTGAAGGACTGTTGGTGAATTGTCCATGATTAGCATGGAACAGTATTTCTGTAGTTTGAATGAGTGTATCCAAGAGTTGGCTATCTACTTCAGTTCTGTGGGCCTCGAGACATTAACAATGGTTTTCCCGTCTCAGTCCTCCACTCAGATGGCCTCTCCCTAGCTAGTGGAGGAAAACAGTCTGGACCTACAAAGGAAACGGATGGTCCATGATGGGGGCTTTGGTAAGAGTCCTGTCGCCCGCATAGTGATTCCAGTGGGCTGAGATGGGAGGAGGAGCCACCACTTTGCAGCATGGCTGCAGCCCTGCCCAACGTGGGTGGGAGGCGCGCGCCAGTACTTGTGGTGGGGTCTTGGCCTGTCATGAGGGCTCAGTGGGTTTGGTGGCAGGTAGGAACTTACAATGAACTGATTGATACTTGTTTTATAATTCCGTGGTAATGATCGCTCAGGGAAGGTAAAGGTCATGATTGGAGATTTGAATTGTTGCTGGAGGTGGGAATTATTTTACTGCTCTTAACTTGCTCAAATTGGAGCAGGTTCCAGGAACTTGAACTAAAATACTTATTTATCCATGACCCCCAAGCCTTGACTTACATGGCTGGAACTGTGGTTTTGCCTGTTTGTTTCTATAGGAAATACTTGCATGTGGCACTAGGCTTAGAGAAGGAAGTTTTCTGAGCTTTAGATTCTCCCTAGTCAGCTGTCCCGGCCAGGTTATCCTCTAGCACAGCTCTGGTTTTGTTTTCTAAAAGCCTTTGTGGCTCAGTCTCCTAGCAGAGTGAGGGATTGTTTTTCTTTTTAGAAGTCAGGATTGTGGCCTGACAGATGACTTCACGGGTGTCTTCATGCCCGCTGAAATGGACTTTTTCTTCCTGTGTCTCTCCCGCTCCTTTCAACCCACTCCAGACCCCAGGCCCAGGGTTCTGGGTTCTGTAGTGTCTGTCTTCATGGACTCTTCCTCTGGGAGTACCCTGTGAATGCAAGCAGGCCTGTTTGTTGCTTGAGCTCTGGTTGGTAAGAGCTCCTTAATGGTAGAAACTGTCGTCACCGGACTAGACAGCCATGTGCTTTTAGCTTGTGGGGAGGGCATGGGGACTAACCAGTGACACACAGGTTAGACCAACCAGGAAACATTCAGGCCTTCTGGCAAAGCTGCATGTGTCCGTGTGAATTTTCTAACTAAGGCGTTAGGCTGCCTTTACTTCTTATAGTGTCTGCTGTACTGTGGACCATTTAGGGGAGGTGAGAAGACTAAATCTGATGAGTCTGAGGGCCATGGCAAGCCTTAGCAAAACATGTTGGGGAACCAAAATCAGATTTATAATAATGCCACTTTGCTATAGCAGAATCTTTTTTTCCTATGTATGGTGTGCTTCAGTGGTAGGAAAACTTGAAATCCTTATTTCCTTGTTTCAAAGGATGGTTCACCAGGAGAGAGAGAGAGAGAGAGAGAGAGAGAGAGAGAGAGAGAGAGAAGAAAGGGAGAGGGAGAGGGAGAGAGAGGTATTTATTACATTATGAAAGAGAGTTACTTGTCTGTTATGTGGATATGTATATTAGGTACAGCCAAACTGTATATTCCCATTTGGCAATGAATGTAGGATTTCTGAAACTCAGGCCTTAACCAGTAGTTTGAAAGATAAGACAAATCGAAGCATTATGAAATGTGTGTTTTATTTGCTCCTGTTATTTTTGTCTTGGGTTCATTGTCTCATTTAATAATAATTTTTAAAATGCCTAAAGGTCATTTTGCATAGTTATGAAGTAGACATGCATGTTTACATTTATGTAGAATATTTGTGGTATAGTTTTTGTTGTTTATTCTCTTAAAAGATCATTATATTTAAATAAAAATGAAGGTAGCAATACACTTAATGTCTTTGTAGTTTTTATTTTCTTACTAGAAATTAGTGAACAATATTGCATTCTTTTAAGAAGCCTTTGTGGTTAAGCCTAGTTAGCTAGTTGACTACTTTTAAATTTGGTATTCATTAAGTACATTTCAGTTTTTAAGAGGAATGGCATTCAAAATTGAAGGGCGAGCTTCAATTTTAAAAAGATACACTTCGGACAGGGTGCAGAGCATGTTGGCGCTAAGTAAGACCTTGCAGGAATCTGTGCCCACAGCCAAGCTGAACAGCCATGCACCCGACTGCCAGCATAGGGGTCAGGGAGCTCAGATGAGAGACCGCAGTGTCTGCTTTGACATAATAAAACAAGATGACACACAAGCAGGCAGGCAGGAAACAGTTGGCCATATCACCCTTCCTCTAACTCTAAGCAGCCTAGCATGGAGAGAAATTCCTCCTACTTGGGGGATGGAGAGAAATTAAATCCAAGCATTAAACTTAACCCAACAGTAGATCTGCTATGGTGAAAAGCCCCATGGCCTGTACGCCAAGTCAGTTATTACAGATTGAGTTGAGCTGTAGTCTTGAGTTTGCTGACTGATCTGCACTAGGCCAGGTGCTAGCTGCCTCCACCACCCTTCCTCCACCAGGGGCTGTACAGTGGAGACTGTACCTCCTAAGGAACAGAGCCAAAACCTCAAGAGCAGCATCTTAGAGCTAGGACCAGGCTTGCTACTTGCTCCAGTGAGATCAAACACCCTGTAGAAACTGAAGACCCTGCATGCCGGCAGGAACTTTTGGGCAGAGTTTATAGACCAGCTCCAGTATCTGGCAGACAACTGTGTGCCTGTGAGACAGACAAATGGTTAGTTTTGCCCATCTTAGAGTGTGTCTGTCATACCTTCCTCCAGAGACTCTGTGGGTTCCTGCAACTGGGAGACTCAGGTGTGGCCTAGCTTTAACAGTAGCTTTGGTGGCCAAGGAACTGTCTACCACCCATCTTCTAATCTTGAGCAGCACAACTATCACCAAGGCAGTGTTCACAGATGGCACTGTAGAACTGCCCTGGCACCAGCAGAGACCTGCACCTCAGGGAGACTGATACCTTGACTTGCATTGCCATTGGCTGTGTGGAGGCTTGGTGTACTCCTGAGACTTCCAGGTCCTTGTGACACACATTCGCAACCCAGCTTTGCATCGGCCCATGTGACCAAGGTCTGTCTTCACCAGCCTAGTCTCAGGCAACATAGTTTTGTGCAGATCCCATTTGCCTGGGGTAGAACTGTTGGGGACCAGGTTACGTGACTGGGGTCCCGTAGTCTCAAAACGAGAATGACCTTGTTTCAGGAACAGAGAAATATATGGAAGGTCTGTGCTTCTGGCTGCACAGTGAAAGCTCCTAACCACAGCATTCCTAAGGCAAGATAACATCTGAGGACAATCTAAAGAAAACAGGCATATCAATAATGGAAAAGAACTGCCTTAAACTGTTTCTCATTTACTAGCGTTACTGTTCCATACAAAGTACACACACACCCTGCCCGTGCTTGTAGCTTCCTAATAAAAGTGAATCAACGTAGAAACTGTTGTGCCTATCCACTAGATGCAGGTTCCTCTGGGTCCCCTTGTGCCTTGAATATTGTCTTTTGTCTTTATTCCCTGCCATTCCCCTAACAGGTACCTGGGAGATCTGCTCAGCCCTCAGCACAGGGCAGAGTGATAACCAAAATACTTTACCCTGGGCTTACTGCTAAGCTGGTAAAATTGAACACTAGGCATATACTAACAGACCCCATCCCCAAATTTGCCTAGAACTGCTCCTGTGCCAGAGGAAGACACATGGTCCCCGCCACATCACTGTGGCCTCTTACAGCAATCTTAGGCCTAAGTCTAAGTAAATAACCCATAGAACCATGAGCCTTGGTACTGACTTGACCCACAGCACTACTGGTCTTGGTGGGCTGTAGACTTGAGTGGGACACAGCTTGACAGCTACAGTGCCCTGCCTGTGACGTAGGAGTTTGGGGTTAGTATATTCAGAGGATTGCCCAGGGCCAGGCACAGTCCTGTGTGTCTGACCACTGGCTGGTAACCATCGGTGAGGCATCCAGGTGTATCCTGGACCCAGGAATCAGCTTGTGGAGACAGACCTCCCTAGGTCTCTATTGTTTCCTTCTGAACAGTGTATTCACAGAATATTAGGAAAGACCTGGGCTTGGAGTGCCTTCTAGTACTAAAACAGCAACACCACACCAGTAACAGACCCCTGTCAAATCTGGACCAGACTCCATCGAGTGCTGAAATTGGGGAAGTGACTTAGAGAAAATAAGTCTTGAATTTCTAGAAACAAGAACAAACCCAGATTAGAAGATTGGAATAAATACCTAGTCTTTCAGTGCCCAGACAGTGTTGCACACCAACAAGCATCTGGAGCTTTCAGGAAATCATGTCCTTACCTTGCACTCAGAGTGCCCAAATGGAGCAGGTGATATGGGGAACTCTCAGAGAATTTGAAGCAGCTATGTTAGGGCAACTCAGATCAAAGAAATCACAGATAAATATTTCATGCTCTAACAGAGAAACTTAAAAGATGGAAGAAGTTTTTTAAAATTAAATTCTTGAGCTGAAAAATATGCCTAATGAAATTAAAAACACAACAGAAGGCGTCAATAGCAGGACAGATCAAATAAAGTATTACTAAGCTTGAAGATAACTTTTTGAACATACACAGACAAGAAAAAAGAATTAGGAATAAAATTTTATGGGACATCTGGAACACTTTTAAAAAAGCAAATATTGGGCTTTTGGGATTCAAGGAGGACTCAAGACTACCAAAGGAGTAGAAAGCTTCAGAGAAAGATACACAAAATTTGTATAAGGAAGCATACAAACATACAAGTACTAGAAGGATATAAATATCAAAGGTGAATAACATTTAACTCAACCTAAGTTTCCCCAGACATAATCAGGCTCTCGCAGGTGAAAGATCATTGAGGTTGCAGGAGCACAGAAACAACACAAGAGCTGCCTCAACTCTCTCCATCGCTGACTTCACAGAAATCTTACAGGTCAGGGAAACAGTGGCATGAAATTTTCATAGTACTAAAGGAAAAAAACCACCGTCAACCAAGAGTACATTACCTTTAAAGCTATCCTTTAGAAATCAAGAGCTAAGAGTTTCCCAGAGAGGAAAACACTGACAGATTGTATCTCCATTGGACTTGTTCCACAAGCAGTGCTGAAAGAAAGTTCTTCAAATTAAAAGGATTTTAATGAAAAATAAGCATAAGAATATATAACACTGGTAAGAGTATACCAACTCAAAATGCTGTCATAAGCACGGTGTATAAGCTCCTCATAAACTACCTTCAGAAAAACCAGTTAACTGTAACTAATATGTAAGCAGTAGACAGTATAGAAAGTTGTAAAATGGAATATCAAAATTTCAGAATGGATTTTGTGGGAGGGTGGAATGCAACTGGAAGTTTCTTATATTTTCTCCTGTTCATTTGTTTCTTTCTTACTCTTTTGATCATGTTAAGCTGCTAATGTTTCAAAATAGCTTGTTAGAGTCAAAAGGCGCTTTTGTAAACCACATGACAACTATAGAGCAAAAATCTACAATAGGCAAAAACTAGGAATCAAATATGCTATTAGAGTAATTTTCTTAACTACCAAACAAGACTGTAAGAGAAGAAGTGCAACAAGACCCGGAAAAAGTTATATATGGCTTATCAATCGATCACTGAATGAAAATCAATTAAATTCTGCAATTAAAAGAAAGGTTGACAATGAATGAAAAGCCCTGACTATATGTTACAAGAAACTCACTTGATCTCTTAGGGACTCATATAAATTGAAAATGAGGAAAGAATAAGATGTTTCTGTAAACAAGATAAAAGAGAGCAGGAGCAGCCATACTTTAAGTAGACTTCAAGTCAAACACAGGTTTAAAAAAGTTATTATATAATGATGAAGGGGTGACTTCAGCAAGAGAAAATAATGATTCTAAATATACATAATCCCAATATTAGAGCTTCCGAATATATAAAGGAAGTATTCATAGAACTAAAAGAAGAGATAGGGCTCCACCCCACTTTGAGCAATGGGCAGATCATCCACAGAGAAAAATCTAACTGCCCCCACAGAACATTCCATCCAATAATTGCCAAATATATATTTACTCATCAACATATGGAACATTCTCTGGGGCAGATCGTGTAACAAATTTTTAAAAATTGAAATTATATGGAGTCTTTCCTGACGGCAATGGAGTAAGACTGGAAACTTTGAAAACTATACAAATGCATGTAAATCAAACAACTTGCTTTTTAAACAATGAGTCAAGAAAGAAATGAAGAAAATTAAAACATTTATTGACATAAATGAAAATGGAGACACAACATGCCATAACCTATGGGATGCAGAAAAAGCAATACTAACAGGGAAATTTACAGCCATCAATGTCCATGTAAAAAAGCAAGAAAATGTCAGCTAACCCATTACTATATCACAAGGAACTGGGAAAAACTAGAGCAAACTAATCCAAAAGTAATTGAAGAGGAAAAATAATAAAGATCAGAAATAAAAAAGTAAATGAAATAAAGACTTAGAAAAGGCAATAAAATTACATGGTGAATTCAAGAAGAGCCTGGTAAGTTTGTGGCTGGCTGTCTCCCCAGAGCCACATGTGGTTGTGGAGGGGCAAGCTTTTCAGAAGTGGCTGAAGTTAGTTTGTGACTGATTGGTAGTGCGGTGCGTGGTTAGGGGTATGAGTGCAACACCTGCCCTAGGGCAGGTAGCCTGCATGTAGTGTAAGGGAGGATACGAGCCCTGCTCCTCCTTTCTTGATCTTGCTGATTTTGCTGTCTTCTGTCCCTCTACCATGGCACCCACATGTACTACCCTGCTTTGGAGTCAGCCAATTATGGGCTGAAACCTCTACAAACTGAGTTAAATAAATCTTTTTTCCTTTAATTTTGGGTGTCAGTTTGTTTTCAGCTAAGTCACAACCTGGACT